GTGACCAACCGATGGTCTCCCCACCCCTGGCAGGGGGCCCTGACCCACGGAGACCGCCGCGCCACGGAATCCCGTGACCTTAGCAAGTACAACTTTGAGAACAAGGTACTGTGGGGAAGGGGGTGCTGGGGGAGGTGGGGTCCAGGGGTCTGAGGGAGGGCCGGGTCTAGGAGCCCCCCGGTGGGGAGTGGGGGTGCTACAGGCTCAGGGTGGTGGCATCCAGGAGTCTGGGGGACGGCCCAGTCTAGGACCCCTGGGAAGTAGGGAGCTGGGGGCTGGGGTAGGTGGGGTCCAGTGGTCTACGGGAGGGTAGGGTCCGGGTCCCAGGGAAGAGTGGGGTTCTGGGGAGGCCAGCCTTCTCCCTGGGCCTCCTCCCCACTCACCCTCTCTCCCTAGTATGGCATCCGTGCCCTGCACTGTGTCCTCACCACCATCCTGAGCCAGACAGAGAACAAAGTGCCTGTACCCCAGGGGTACCCCGGAGGGGTCTCTGCCTTCTTCCGGGGTGAGCTGGGCCTGTGGGGTCTTGGGAGCAGCAGGGGCTGCGGAGCCCTGGATTCCCGAGCAGCTGGGGTAGCAGGCTTTGTACGCGGGTTGTGTGTTGAGACCCCTCTCTACACACACAGAAGGGGCTCTGACGGCAAAGGCAGCCAAGGTGGCCCCAGCACCCGCCGGCTGGGTTCCTTTGGGCGGTGAGGGGTCTGGGGTGTGGCTTTACGCCCCAAGAATGTGCTGCTCTCAGTCCTGTAAGTCAGGCAGAAGGCTCCGCTCCTGCTCTGGCCCCCAGCTGCCGCTGGCTCCCCCCCCGTCACTGGGAAAGGAACTAGGGGCCTGGTGTGAAGGGCAGGGGCGGGAAGACCAGCGTTTGAGGCCCCTCTCCCCGCAGACATGAAGCAGGGCCTGCTGTCGGTGGGCATCGGCGGGCGGGAGTCCCGGAATGGCTCCCCGGACATGGAGAAGGGTGAGTGCCCACACCCAGGCACAGGCACCCCCGTCTAGTGGCCCCGGGTGGGGAGCAATCGGGGTGGGGGTTGAGCTCCCAGCTCAGCCTGAGGCTCGGCTCCCTCCCACGCAGACTGTTCCATCACCAAGTTCCTGAACCGCATCCTGGGGCTGGAGGTGCACAAGCAGAATGCGCTGTTCCAGTACTTCTCAGACACCTTCGACCACCTCATCCAGATGGACAAGCGGGAGGGCAGATACGACATGGGCATCCTGGGTGAGCGAGGGCGGCGGAGCTCGAGCAACGCCGTGCATTCTGGGTGAGAGGGTGCTGGGTGGGCACTCTGTGGAAAGCGCTGGGCCTTAGGCCTCACGAGGCATTGGCTGCATCTTTGTGAATTCTGCGCTCCCTGCACGTGGACCACCCTCCCAGGGCGTGCTGGGGGAGGCCGGCAGGCCTGTGCACGTGGACCACCCTCCCAGGGCCACGCATGTCCGCCAGGACCGTTTCCCATGTCCAGATGAGGAACATCAAGTGGATTGCCCCTTCACTCACGCGCAGTGGCAGTGACACACGGCCCACCAGGCTCCCACAGTCCCCCACAGCCCCCCACAGCCCGCTCGGGGTCGTCTAGCGCCTGAGCGGCCCCCAGGCTCCCACAGTCCCCCACAGGCTGCCTGGGGTTATCTAGGATCTGAGCGGCTGCCAGGCTGGGGGCCACGTGCGCCATCTTCACACTGGGCCGGCTCAGGCCAAGCTCCAGGGCACCTTCCTCTGTGTTGCGTGGGGCGCCCCAGCTGTGGGAGCAACCCTGGCTCCAGCCTGCAGTCCCAGGACTGGATGAGACTCACCCTCCACCCGCCCCTCCTAGACCTTGCTCCGGGCATCGAGGAGATCTACGAGGAGAGCCAGCAGGTCTTCCTGGCTCCCGGGCACCCGCGGGACGGGCAGCTGGTCCTCTACAAGGTCAGCAGAAAGACCCCAGCCCCAAACACTGCGCACCCCGCCCCACCACGCTGACACTCCGGCCCCCACCACGCTGACACTCCCGCCCCCACCGCGCTGACACTCCCGCCCCCACCGCGCTGACACTCCCGCCCCCACCGCGCTGACACTGCCCACCCCGCCCCACCACGCTGACACTCCCGCCCCCACCGCGCTGACACTCCGGCCCCCACCGCGCTGACACTCCGGCCCCCACCGCGCTGACACTCCCGCCCCCACCGCGCGGACACTCCCGCCCCCACCGCGCTGACACTCCGGCCCCCACCGCGCTGACACTCCGGCCCCCACCGCGCTGACACTGCCCACCCCGCCCCACCACGCTGACACTCCCGCCCCCCACACACACTGCCCACCCCGCCCCACCAGGCTGACACTCCCGCCCCCACCGCGCGGACACTCCCGCCCCCACCGCGCTGACACTCCGGCCCCCATCACACTGACACTGCCAGCCCCCCACACACAATGCCCACCCCGCCCCACCGCGCTGACACTCCGGCCCCCATCACACTGACACTGCCAGCCCCCCACACACAATGCCCACCCCGCCCCACCGCGCTGACACTCCCTCCCCCGTGCTGTGGCAGATCAGCGTGGACCGCGGCCTGAAGTGGGAGGACGCCTTTGCCAAGTCGCTGGAGCTGACGGGCCCTTATGACGGCTTCTATCTCTCCTACAAGGTGGGGTGGGCGGGGTTACCCCCCACAGAAGACGGGCCACGGGGGGCGTGGGCGTGGACCTGGGCGCGGCCTCACCGCCCCCTGCGCAGGTCCGTGGAGACAAGCCCAGCTGCCTGCTGGCGGAGCAGAACCGCGACCAGCTCTTCACCGTGTACAAGCCCAACATCGGCCGGCAGAGCCAGCTGGAGGCCCTGGACAGCCTCCGCCGCAAGTTCCACCGGGTAGGCGGCCCGCGCCCCGCTTCCTTCCCCTCGGGCTCCGGCCCTGGCCCGCCGAGGCTCACGCAGCCCCGTGTCCGCAGGTCACCGCGGAGGAGGCCAAGGAGCCCTGGGAGAGCGGCTACGCCTTCTCGCTGACGCACTGCAGCCACAGCACCTGGTGAGGGCGGGCGGGGGCGTGGGCCACCCCGCGGGGCATGGAGGCGGCCTCTGGGACCTGCCTGAGCCCAGCTGCCCCGTGCGGTCCGCAGGAACCGGCACTGCCGGCTGGTGCAGGAGGGGAAGGACTGTCTGCAGGGCCTGCGGCTGCGGCACCACTACATGCTGTGCGGCGCGCTCCTGCGCGTGTGGGGCCGCATCGCCGCCGTCTTGGGCGACAGCAGCGGCGGCAGCTACCTGCAGATCGTGCGGCTGAAGACCAAGGACCGGAAGAAGCAAGTGGGTGAGTGGGCGGCGGGCGCCCCCAAAGGCCCAAGCGCCTGGCCTGGCCCTGACCTCGCCTCTCCGCCCGCCGCCCACAGGCATCAAGATCCCCGAGAGCCGCGTGCGCCGCGTGCTCCAGGAGCTGGGCCTGATAGACGCGGACGTGAAGCGCAGGCAGGCGCGCGCCCTCGGCGGCCCCGAGGTGCTGGACCTCACCTACAGCCCCCCTGCCGAGGCCTTCCCGCCGCCCCCGCACTTCTCCTTCCCGGCACCGCTGCCCCTGGACGCCAGCCCCGGTGCGCTGCCACTGGGCGTCCCCGATCTCCAGGCCGACGCTGCGGCCCTCGCGCACCAGGGCTGCGACATCAACTTCAAGGAGGTGCTGGAGGACATGCTGCGTTCCCTACACGCGGGACCGCCCTCCGAGGGTGCGCTGGGAGAGGGCGCGGGGGCAGGGGGTGCGGCGGGTGGTCCCGAGCGGCAGAGCGTGATTCAGTTCAGCCCACCCTTCCCCAGCGCCCAGGCTCCGCTCTGACCCACTTGCAGGCGAAACGTGCCAAGTCACGGACGCTTCTCCCCTAGGAGCAGTGAGCCCTGGGGAGCGGGGCCTTGGTTCCTGCCCACTGCTCAGAGGAGCCCCAGGCCCCGGCCACAGTGCCTTCTGGGCCCCCACCTGGTCAGCCCTGGCGGGGCCCACTCAGGACAGCTGGGGGCTGAGGCGTGGCACGGCCCTCTGTGCCTCCTCCCAAGTGGGAAGGGGCTCTGGGTGGCTGCTCTGGGACTGGGCACCCACCTCCAAGGGCTTAGTGGGCCCAAACCCCGGGTATCCATGAGACTGGGTGGTCCCAAGAGCTAGAAACTCAGGAAATGCCAGGTGCTCAGGGCCCACGTCTCGGGGGCTCCGTGGGGCAGACCCCGCTAATATATGCAATTCCCCCTCTCCCAGCCCTTCTCCGACCCCTAAGTTATTGCCCACTCACCTCTCCCAGGCCCTGGGCCCTGCCCGCGGAGCCGGCAGGGTGGCGTCTGCGGTTTCTATGTATTTATATCAAGTTCTTATGTACATATGTAAAGGACTTTTTTAAATATATGTGCTTTTGCCTACTTCCCAGGGTCTCGGCCTCAACCTCCAGGGCAGGGAGGGAAGGGCGGGGGTGCACGGGCATCCCCCCAGGCTCTCCTGGTGACAAAGCTGCATCCTGCCCACCCTTTGGGCTGCCCTCATGTGGAGATGGGGGAACAGTGCTGGCAGAGATGGACCCCTGAACCCCGTGTCTGGGGCAGTGCCATAGCCCATTCACAGACCCCCAGTGGGGGCAGCCAAGATCAGCTATCCTGGCAGGCGGTCCCTCCAAGCTGTGCAGGTTGGCCCCCAGGCCATGCCCAAACCGCCCTCACCGAGCGACACCACCCGGCAACGCCCACACTCCCCAGCCTGGTGAGGCCCTGAGGACCTGTCTGTCACCGGGCCAAGCTGTTCCTCCGGCCGCTGCACTTCCACTTCCTGGCCAGAGAAGGGCTTCCTAACAGGTAAAGGCCGGGGACCAGGAAGCACAACCACTTAAGATTATCTCCGCCAAGACTGGCCCCGCTGGGCCTCCCTGCAGGTGGGGTGGCAGGGATTAAGGGGGGAGGCCGTGTCCACTGCACCCCAGCCTGGCAGCTGACACCAACTGGCCCTGACCTGGAGGGCCCCCAGGCCCCCACAAATCCCCAGGCAGAAAGATCCAACAGGCCAATCTCTCTCGTTTATTCCCACAAGGCAGCCAGGGGTGGGGGCGCCAAGCCGGGCCCAGCGGACCACGGGACCTTCTCCGGCGGGGTGCACGCGGGGTTTTCAGGCCTGCCCCACCATCAGCTGGTTTGCAGGCAGGCCGTCATGGGTGCTGGTGGAAGGCTCCGAGGGCGAGGGCAGGGGCTTGGACAGGGCCACACACTTGGGCTAGAAATAGCAGGGCAGGTCCTTCTCTATCACCTGTAGGGGAGGGACTGGGTCAGGGCAGCCGCCTCACAGGCCCCGGCCCCGGGCAGTCTCCCTAGAGAGGACCTACCTGGGGTTCCTCCATGGGTCCGTACCGCTTCACCACACAGCCATTCTTGTCGACGAGGAACTGCCGAGAAACCGTGTCGGAACTCAGCCCGGGGCTGACGCTGCCCTTTCCCACCCACTGCCCATTTGGGTCAAGGCTGTGGCCAGGGGCAGCTGGTCCCCAACCCCCCATAGCCCCCTCACCTTGGTGAAGTTCCACTTGATGGCACTGGAAAGGAAGCACATGGGCATAAGCGTCCCCAGCAGCCCCCACGGACGCCCCCAGCCAACCTGTCCCCAGGGGCCACACAGTGTGAACGTCCCAGCAGCCCCTAAGCCATTCTGCCCCCGGGAGGTGTGAGCGTCCCAGCAGCCACGCCGTCCCCAGAGATCACGCACTTCCCCAGGGTGCCCTTTCCCTTGGGCTGGATCTTCATCCACTTCCACAGCGGGTGGGCGTCATCCCCGTTCACGCAGATTTTGCTGAACATGTCGAATTTGACGTTATAGCCAGCGGCGAACTCTTTGATCTCTTCGTTACTCCCTGGCTCCTGTGGCAGGGGAGGAGCGCGAGTGGGTCGGGGGCCCGGTACCCCCTCAGCCCAGGCTCCCGCTCCCACCCACCGGGCCTCTGCGGAGCCAGGGCCTGGGGACGCGGGCAGCCGCCCACCTGCTTCCCGAACTGGTTGCAGGGGAAGGCCAGGATCCGCAAACCGCACTCGGCGTATCGGGCGTGCAGGTCGACAAGCTGAGTGTAGTTCACCTGGGTTTTGCCTCACTGGGAGGCCACGTTGGTGACGATGCACACGAAACCCCTGCGAGAGTCGGCGGGGCTCAGTACTGAGAGCACGGCCCCCTCCCAGGCCCCCGCCCTGCGCCCCGCCCCAGGCGAGCGCCCACCGGTACTTGTCCAGGTTAACCGTGTGCCCGTCGATGTCCTTGGCGGAAAACTCGTGCATGGAGCGCGCTGAGCGCCAGTCGTCCTGGGACGCGCACTGCAAAACAAGGGGGCTTAACCAGGAGCGCGGGCGGGAAACCGAGGCCACGGCCCGCGCACCAGCCCAGGGTCCCGGGGCAGGAACAGATCCGGAGCGGGTCATGGCGGGAAACCCGGGCCCTGGGGCACTCAACACCTCAAAGCTCCTCCTCCCTAAGTGGACACGCCCCCTAGTGCCTACAATCCCGTTTTACCGGAGAACCCGAGGCCGGGAGAGGGTTCCAACCCCAGAAAGTGCCACAGCAGCAGGTGTGGGGGCCCCGCGCGCACCGGGTCCTGGGACTCGAGACTCTCGCTCATGTCCGGCCCCAAGCGGTGGGGACAGGGCTCCTTCCGCCGGCGGCGCACCTTCCTGCGCCTGCACGCTGGGGCCTTCCGCCGCCGGGGGGCCCGCGGCCGCCGCCTACCCCGGCTCCGGTACCGCTTCCGGCTGCGCTCTGGGGAGCCTGCGCCCGCGCAGCCCATCCCTGCCCGTCTGCCGCCCCGCCTGGCCCCCGAGCGCCGAGCCCGGGAACAGAGGCCCGGAGGCCGTAGTCTGGACCGCGCGACTGTGACGCCACCGCGCTGGGTCAGGGCGCGGGGGCGGGGCGGCGCCCAGGGGCGCGTGATCCCAGGTTTCCAGCCCTCCGCGCCCGCAGCCGCCACGGCGCAGCAGCCTCCCTCCGACCGGAGACGCCCGCCAAGGGTCCCCAACGGCTCAGCTCCGCTCAGCGGTCCCGAACCCCGGACCCCGCCCGCCGCCCCTCCAGCCTGAACCCCGCCCCCACCCCCCAGCCGTCCCGGACCCCGGACCCCGCCCCCCGCCGCTCCAGCCTGAACCCCGCCCCCACCCCCCAGCCGTCCCGGACCCCGGACCCCGCCCCCCGCCCCTCCAGCCTGAATCCCGCCCCCACCCCCCAGTGATCCCGGACCCCGAACCCCGGACCCCGCCTTCCGCCCCTCCAGCCTAAACCCCGCCCCCACACCCCTGCGACCCCGGACCCCGGACCCCGCCCCCCGCCCCGCCAGCCTGAATCCCGCCCCCACCCCCCAGCGATCCCGGACCCCGAACCCCGGACCCCGCCTTCCGCCCCTCCAGCCTAAACCCCGCCCCTCCAGCCTGGACCCCGCCCCCACACCCCCGCGACCCCGGACCCCGCCCCCCGCCCCGCCAGCCTGGACCCCGACCCCGGCCACGGTCCCTCGCGCTAGGAACAGCCCCGTCCCCATCCCCTTTCCCGACCTCCGCCCGCGCGCTCGGGACCGCCCCTTCCCCTTCCCCGACCTCGGCCCGCGCGCAAGTAACGGCCTGGACGGCCTTGGAGAGCGTAGCAGTGCGGTCACCCGCGTCGGCGCCCGGCCGGGGATGGGGAGAGGGAACTACCAGGACGAAGGTCACGGGGGCCCGAGGGTTCCCCGCGCCGGCGACCGGAGGCGGGGGTCGTGCTCCCGGCCGAACACTCCCCGGGCCGGCGACAACCGCGGCCACCGCTTACCATGGTGCCGGCCAGGCCTGGCGCGGCCAGAGCCCCACACAGCAGCGCCGGCTTCAGCAAGCGGCACAGGCGACCGAGGCTCATCGCGGCGGGACTGGGAGCCAGCGGCTCCTCCCCTCGCCCAGCCGACCAATGGCCGCGCGCCGGCACCACGCGCTTCCCCGCCCGCGGCCACGCCCTCCAGAGCTCTCATTGGTCAGCCGCGTCGGGTTTGAGCGCTCGCGCCGACACTACCCAATGGGAGGCCGGGATGGGAGGAAGGCGGGGAATGGGGCGGGACCGGACGTACGGGCTGACTGTTGTCGGCGACTGCGCATGCTCGCTTGCGACCCGGAGGCGGTGTCCATGCAGGGGGCACGTGAGTGGGCGGCAGACGTTTACCCGGCTGGTTGACCGCAGCGCGGCGGGAGGCCAGACATGTTGAGAATACTACTGAGAACTCGTCGAGGGGTTTCTCTAACTCTCAGAAAAAGTCTCCCCAGCACTTTTAGGAGAGTGCTTTTTTTTTTTTTTTTTTTTGAGACGGAGTTTCGCTCTTGTCACCCAGGCTGCAGTGCAATGGCGCGATCTCGGCTCACCGCAACCTCCGCCTCCTGGGTTCAGGCAATTCTCCTGCCTCAGCCTCCTGAGTAGCTGGGATTACAGGCACGCGCCACCATGCCCAGCTAATTTTTGTATTTTTAGTAGAGACGGGATTTCACCATGTTGACCAGGATGGTCTCGATCTCTCGACCTCGTGATCCACCCGCATCTGCCTCCCAAAGTGCTGGGATGACAGGCTTGAGCCACCGCGCCCGGCCCTTTTTTGAGCCACCTGCACTCCGGCTGGAGTGCAGAGGAGAGATCTTGGCTCACTGTAACCTCCGCCTCCTGGGTTCAAGCGATTCTCCTGCCTCAGCCTCCTGAGTACCTGGGATTACAGGCGCACTGCACCACACCTGGCTAATACCGCACCTGTATTTTTAGTAGAGATGGGGTTTCACCATCTTGGCCAGGCTGGTCTCAAACTGCTGACCTCAAGTGATCCTCCTACCTCGACCTCCCAGAGTGCTGGGATTACAGGCTTGAGCCACCGCACCCGGCCTAGGTGTTTGGGAATTTTATGTAGCCCTCAAGGTCTTAACCTTTACTGACCCAGGCCGGGCGCGGTGGCTCACGCCTGTCATTCCAGCACTTTGGGAGGCCGAGGCAGGTGGATCACGAGGTCAAGAGATCGAGACCATCCCGGTCAACATGGTGAAACCCCGTCTCTACTAAAAATACAAACAATTAGCTGGGCACGGTGGCGCGTGCCTGTAATCCCAGCTACTCGGGAGACTGAGGCAGGAGAATTGCCTGAACCCAGGAGGCGGAGGCTGCGGTGAGCCGAGATGGTGCCATTGCACTGCAGCCTGGGTAACAAGAGCGAAACTCCGTCTCAAAAAAAAAAAAAAAAACTTTACCGACCCTACCCTGAATATTTCTGCAGAGACAGACTCAGGGCTGTGTTCATTTGGTGGGGGTGGGGGGGCTATGAGCTGGCTCCCGCCACTGCCCCCGACCCGGGCCTGCCAGGTGTCTGCAGGGCAGAGGTGTCGTAGGTGGAGTTTGGTGGCAGAGGTAGTGACGCAAGGATCCCTGGGCAAGGCTGCCAGAATGCGGGTCTTGCATAAGTCTTTTCACACGGCTTTGCCCCCTCCCAGCCCCCAGAGGCCTCGTTCTCGGAGTCAACACCCATTGTCTCACTTCTCAGGAAACCTCCCCATTTCCTCCCCCGCTGGCAGTGCCGGGTGACCTGGACCACACTGGCGACTCTGTTCTTGTCCTTCAGAAGGCTCAGTTGTTATGCGATTTTGCCAGAATTGTTTTCCCTAAGTTTCTCGCAAACGTGTGCTGAAACAGGTACTGATTTCACGGCTGCCAGAAAAACAGCTCAGCACCCACAGCTCCGCGGAGACACTTGACCCCCTTGCTGACTTCCTGCCGGCTGTGATAAGGGCAGGAGGGGAGAAACGCTGTGGCTGCTGCCTCCGGCCAGAGAACCCGACTCCAGGCTCTGGGAGGGGTTTGTGCCTCGGGCTTCACAGCTTTTCCCAGGGCGACCCCATTGCACAGATGGGGAAATTGGGTGGTGGGGACCTCTCAAGGCTCCAGGAGGCTTCCCGGTGAGGGTGGAAGTTCCTGGCTGTCCCTGCGGGGAGCTGTGTTGCCAGAGGTCTTTGTGGAGCAGCCACTGGCTCCAGGAAAGTCTGGGCCGGGGCCGTCCTGTGGGGTCCTCCATGTTGGTCAGGCTGGTCTCGAACTCCCAACCTGAGGTGATTTGCCCGCCTCTGCCTCCCAAAGTGCTGGGATTACAGGCACGAGCCACCGCACCTGGCCTCATTTTCCCTGTTCGTGGCTGAGAAATATTCCAGTGTGTGGAGTGATGACATGGTGCTTGTTTATTCAAGCGTGGATGGACATCTGAGCTCTTTTCACCTTTTGAGTTTATACAGATGCTTGTGTGGGTGAATGTTTTCATTTCTCTTGGGCCTATGACTGGAAGTGGAATTGCTGAATCATGTGGTGACTCGTGTGTAACAGTTTGAAGATCCACGAGACTGTTTTTCTTCTTTTTTTTTTCCGAGATGGAGTCTTGCTCTGTCACCCAGGCTGGAGTGCAATGGCGCGATCTCGGCTCACCGCGATCTCCGCCTCCTGGGTTCAGGCAATTCTCCTGCCTCAGCCTCCCGAGTAGCTGGGATTACAGGCACGCGCCACCGTGCCCAGCTAATTTTTTGTATTTTTAGTAGAGACCGGGTTTCACTGTCTTGCTCGGGCTGGTCTCGATCTCCTGACCTCAGGTGATCTGCCCACCTCGGCCTCCAAAAGTGCTGTGATTACAGGCGTAGGCCATCGCGCCCAGCCAACCAGACTGTTTTCTAGAGCAGCCCCGTCCTCCTGCATTCTCACCCGCCCCGCGTGTGGATCACAGGTGACTTCTGGGCCTCTGGCTTGGGCCCAGCCTGTCTTAATCCAGCCCTGCCCCCGGATTTGCAGGTCGCTGCTGGATCTTGACTCCAGCAAACCCAGACGCCCTTTCTTGTGCTGTAAAATCCACTCGTGAGCCCTGTCCATCTTCTGAGCCCCCGAGTGCCTGCGCCACCTCTCCAATTCCTCTCCTCCCCGAAATCTGCCCTGCCAGGCACTGCTGGCCCCTTCCCTGAGTCACAAGCCGTTTCTCCCGGGCTAATCCTCACTCAATCCCCAGGTGGACTTGGCGGCTTGGTGGCATCACACAGCTACTCCTCCCTCTGCCCTTAGACACCTCCTCACGGGGTTTCCAGGACACCTGGCAACCTCCTGCCCTTTATCCTATTTACAGAGCACTTGTGCAGTGCCCGTGCCAGGCGCTGCTCTGTGTACATTGCAATTGTTAGACAATTACCCTGTGAAGTGGGTGCCATTCTTGTCCCTGAGTCACAAGGCAGGGGAGAGGGCGGCACAGAGAGGTTAAGTGAGGTGCCTGAGATCACACAGCCAGGTCTACAGCACAGGGCTGCCCCAGTGTCAGTGCTGAATCTTCCTCCCCTCCTGCTGCTCCCTCCTCCCCTTCCCCTGACCTCTGAACCTCAGTGGGGCTGGACTCACTCCCCGGACTCTGCTCTGCTCCCAGGACCTGGTTCAGGCTCCCGGCCCTAATCTCCACCATGTGTCTACGTTGGCTGCACGTCCATCTACCCCGGCACCTTGCCATGAACTCCAGAACCCGTCCCCACCTCCCCTCCCCCTTCCCCCGGCTCACAGGGACGGCTTTGTTCCCTCTTCTCCCTCTTTCTCTCGCCCTATGGCAAGAAAGCCCTCCCCTGGCTTAAACCCTGCAATCCTGTGAGCTCTGCGCTCACAACACGCGGAACTGACTCCTCGCTTGCGCTCCCCTGCGCGGAGCCGCTCCCACCTCTGGCCAGTTTGCCTCCCCAGGCCCTCCCTGGTCTCTCCCTTCTGCCCTGGCTCCAGCAGTCATTTCTAACACGGAGGCTCCAAACATTTCAGGGGACCGGACCCACTGTGCCCTCCAACCTCTTCCACTGCCCTGTCCCCACAGGCCACGCTCCAGGAGAGATGCAGCCTCACGGCCTCCACCCTGGCTGTGCCGCCCCGTCCCCACAGGCCACGCTCCAGGAGAGATGCAGCCTCACGGCCTCCACCCTGGCTGTGCCGTCCCGTCCCCACCGGCCACACTGCACGGCCTCCACCCTGGCTGTGCCGTCCCCGTCCCCACCGGCCACACTGCACGGCCTCCACCCTGGCTGTGCCGCCCGGTCCCCACAGGCCACGCTGCAGGCGAGGTGCAGCCTCACGCCTCCACCCTGGCAGTGCCATCCACCTGAGACTCCTGTCTCCAGGCATCCCCACGCCTCTTCTGTCTCCTCCTCCGGGTTTTGTTTTCTGTTTGTTTCAGGACGGGCGTGTTGCTCTGTCGCCCAAGCTGGAGTGCGGTGGCACAATCACAGCTCACTGCAGCCTCGACCTCCTTGGGGTAAGCCACCTTAGATCTTCCCACCACAGCGTCCTGAGTAACTGGGACTACAGGTGCGCCCCACCACGCCCAGTTAATTCTTAAATTTTTTTGTGGAAATGGGGTCTTCCAGCTGGGTGTGGTGGCTTACACCTGTAATGCCCACACTTTGGAAGTCTGAGGAGGGTGGATCACAAAGTCAGGAGTTCAAGACTAGCCAGGCCAACATGGTGAAACCCCGTCTCTACTAAAAATACAAAAAATTAGCTGGGCATGGTGCTGCGTGCCTGTAATCCCAGGTACTCGGGAGGCTGAGGCAGGAGAATTGCCTGAACCCAGGAGGCGGAGGTTGCGGTGAGCCGACATCGCGCCATTGCACTCCAGCCTGGGTAACAAGAGCGAAACTCTGTCTCAAAAAATAAAAATAAAAAAACAAAATAGCTGTGAATGTGGCCAATGAAGCACAGCACCACATAGAGACAAGTAAGCCCCTGGGTGTCTGTGGGCCTCCCTGACAGCCTCTAGTCCTACCGCAAGAGCTTGGAAGCGCAGAGTTTTCTCCTCACTCCTCCTGAGTAGCTGGGATTACAGGCACGCGCCACCACGCCCAGCTAATTTTTTGTATTTTTAGTAGAGACGGGGTTTCACCATGTTGACCGGGATGGTCTCGATCTCTTGACCTCGTGATCCACCCGCCTCGGCCTCCCAAAGTGCTGGGATTACAGGCTTCAGCCACCTCGCCCGGCCTAGTCCCATACTTCTTGACCTGAGACTTATCAGTAAGATCAAAGATCACATGATTATATGTCTGTGATTACATATGAATTATATGTATGTGATTATTTTACGGTTATATATAGGAATAACTACGTTACAATATCTCTAATTCTTTTCTAATTCTGTGTTTATATGAGAACATGCTGAGGCTTCAGACCCTTGCCTCAGTGCTTGCAGGGTTCCCCCCTACAGCTGACAACTTAAAACTTTTCTAAACAGGTAAAAGCAATGGAGAGCTGGGACATGCCTGTGAGCACGTCCAGCACAGATATCTTGGTTAAAGTACAAGGACACAGGATGTACTAATTGCCTAGAAGTATGGCATATCTAACACCTGCATAGGACAGGGCTTAACAGTTATTAACACACTTATGATTTATTCTTTTTTTTTTTTGAGACGGAGTTCCGCTCTTGTTACCCAGGCTGCAGTGCAATGGCGCGATCTCGGCTCACCGCAACCTCCGTCCCGTGGGTTCAGGCAATTCTCCTGCCTCAGCCTCCCGAGTAGCTGGGATTACAGGCACGCACCACCATGCCCAGCTAATTTTTTTGTATTTTTAGTAGAGACGGGGTTTCACCATGTTGGCCAGGACGGTCTCGATCCCTTGACCTCGTGATCCACCCTCCTCGGCCTCCCAGAGTGCTGGGATGACAGGCGTGAGCCACCGCGGCCGGCCTGATTTATTCTTTAACAGGAAAGGAAACTGTAAAAAGGAACCTTTCTACTTCCCACTGTTGGAAATAGATGGTCGGTGCCACAGAGAAAAATCAGCACTGAGACAAAGGCTCTTTGAGCAACGCAGTTTTGACTTCGTGGACTGCAGGAGGGCTCCTCTAGAGAGATGCCCAGCTCTACCCGAGCCTCCCAGTTATCCGTCTAAACGAGGGACACTTCACTGCCATCGCACAGGTAGGGAAACTGAAGCTCACTGGCACTAAAGGGGACATGGGCTGGATACAACAAAGAGAACCCTGTAGACTTTGGTGTACAAATATTTACAGTTCTCACTAGGCTGACCGCCCCTAGGAGCTGAGCTGCCCCTTGGCCCCATCTAGGCCTCAGTTTCCCCACCCACGCTCCGGCCCCGCTCCGTGGGATTCTAAACCGCTGCCCCAACGTGGGAGTTGAACGGAAACTACAACTCCCGAGAGGCCGAGCGGCCAAAGACACGGGAGAACTGCGGAGCGAGAGTCTCGTGCAGCCAACTGTCGCGCTCGTAAGGCTCGGGTTGCCCTTGGCGCTGCCGGTCCCAGATGTTGCTGCAGTCAGGCCTTCGCGGAAGGCAGCCCAGCTCCGGGCGGGGTAAAGCGAAGGGGACCTGACTGGCGTTCGGCGCAGGCGCAGTCCGCGCGAGACGTCACTAGCGCATGCGTAGGGGGTGCGAGTGGCGACCGCCATGGACGACGAGGAGGAGACGTACCGGCTCTGGAAAATCCGCAAGACCATCATGCAGGTCAGCCGCGCGCCGGGCAGCTGTTTAGAACCGTGGGGTGGGGCCGGGGGCGCAAGAGGTGGGTGCAGGGGCACGAGGTGGGGTCGAGCTCGGCCTCTTGGCGTAGTCCCGTCGGAGCAGCAGCGATGAAGGGGCGGGCGGTGACGGGAGGCCTCGAGGCCGCCGGGGTTCTCAGGCGCTGGGCCCGACCTGAGCCGGCAGCGGGGAGGGGGATTTCGGGACGTTTGGGTGCGGGAGCTTAGGGGTGGTCGGGCGGCTCGGGCCTGGTGCGGCGCGCGTGGCGGCAGGAGGAGGAGGAAGGGGCGCCCCCAGACCCTGCCCCGCTCTGTGGTTCCGCGGCGCCTTTTGTCCCCGCGTCCCGGACCCCCGGGAGTCTCCGCATCCGAGGTTGGCGGAGTTGGTGGTTGGGCAGCAGCGACCGAGCTGGGGCGGGAGATGGGGACGTGGAGCCCGGAAGCCGTGCCTCGGGGCCTGGGGCAGACGGAGGCCGCGGGGCTGAGTCGGGTTTGGAAGCCGCGCGGTTCGGAGTCCGGCTCCAGCCTTTGGGGCCGTTCCAGAGCTTTCGCTTTGTCGTCCTTCCCCACCCATTGCCCTTGTCCTCAGCGAAGCCCACGCAGCCGGATTCTCCCTCCTCCGGGCCTCGCTGGGAGCCTGTAGTTCAGTTTCCGTCCTTGTCTTTTTTTTTTTTTTTTTGAGACGGTGTTTTGCTCTCGTATCCAGGCCGGAGTGCAGGGGCGCGCTGTCGGCTCACTGCAGCCTCCGCGTCCCGGGTTCAAGCGATTCTCCTGCCTCAGCGTCCCGAGTAGCTGGGATTGCAGGCACCTGTCACCACCCCCGGCTGAATTTTTTTGTATTTTGAATAGAGGCGGGGTTTCACCATGTTGGCCAGGCTGGTCTGCAAGTCCCGACGTCAGATGATCTGACCGCCTGGCCCCCCAAAGTGCTGGGATTACAGGCCTGAGCCACAGCACCCGGCCCCCTGTCTTTTTTTCTTTTTCTCTTTTTTTTTTTTTAAGACGGAGTTTCGCTCTTGTCACCCAGGCTGGAGTGCAATGGCGCGATCTCGGCTCACCGCAACCTCCGCCTCCTGGGTTCAAGCAATTCTCCTGCCTCAGCCTCCCGAGTAGCTGGGATTACAGGCATGCGCCACCGTGCCCAGCTAATTTTTTGTATTTTTAGTAGAGACGGGATTTCACCATGTTGACCAGGATGGTCTCGATCTCTTGACCTCGTGATCCACCCGCCTCGGCCTCCCAAAGTGCTGGGATTATAGGCGTGAGCCACCGCCTCCGGCCCTTTTTTTTACCCCCCCTAAAAAAAAGACAAGGGTTTTTCTCTGCCTTCCAGGCTGCAGTGCAGTGCTGCAGTCATAGCCGGCTGCATCCTCAAATTCCTGGCCTTAAGCAGTCTTCCTGCCTCAGCCTCCCTAGCACTCAGATCACAGTTCTGAGCCTTCGAGCCCGGCTTCCCTCCCTGTCTTTAGGGTCTCTCTGAAAAGTGGTTTGGAGGGCTGGGTGTGGTTGCCAGGTTTGTGCCCTGCCAGGTTCCTGTGAGGCTGGGCCCTGCAAGCCTCTCAGGATCATACTGGTCCCATCCTGTGGTGTGGCTGTGGGGGTAGGGTGGCTGTCCCAAGGCTGAATGAGTGTTCAGCCTTCTGTCCTCTGCAGCAGCTGCAGGTCTGACTTCTGGGTCATGAGATCTGGCCCCCTTCCTCCATCTGCCCTGAGGTCAGCTGGCTCGCTCTTTTTTTTTTTTTTAAATAAAGGGGTTTCACCATGCTGGTCTTGAACTCCCGACCTCAGGTCATCCGCCCGCCTTGGTCTCCAAAGTGCTTGGATTACAGGCGGGAGCCACCACACCCAGCCACCTGGCTCTTTCTTTCTGCAGCTGTGCCATGACCGTGGCTACTTAGTGACCCAGGACGAGCTTGACCAGACACTGGAGGAGTTCAAAGCCCAGTTTGGGGACAAGCCGAGCGAGGGGCGGCCGCGGCGCACAGACCTCACCGTGCTGGTGGCACACAACGATGACCCCACCGACCAGATGTTTGTGTTCTTTCCAGGTGAGCAGCACCAGCTGAGGAGCCAGCTGCCAGCATCCGCCTCCTGCCCAGCTCCTGTCCCTCTGCCCAGTCTGGGGGAAAGGCTCCCCTCCCCTTCCTTGTTTGGGGTGATGCTGTTGACGTCTGATCTCTCTCATGCAGCATCTTTCTAGTTTCCCTCTTATCAGTCCCCTTCTCTCTTCCCTGACCATTTCCTCCAACCAGGATTGTCACGTGGGCCTCTCCACTTACCCCAGCCCCCCATGACCTTGTGTCCCTCAGCTCCCCCATCCTGGCCACTGGGTGCCCTTCCAGCTTCTTGGCCTGGCCTAGGAGGCCCTATCCAGGTCAGAGCAGCCTCCTTGTGAGCTGCGGCCCTGGCCGCCCTAACCCGCCCCAGCCCATTCCCCGCCCTGTCAGCGTCTGCTCTTTGTCCCTCAAGATTGTGCTGGGGACTCTTTTCCCGGGTCCCCTGGGACACTTGGTGTCAGCACTTTCTCTGTGGAGTCTCCCCCACCTGTCTGCCTCCCCATTGTGGCTCTAAAGCCCTCCGAGGTTGGGGGACTGAGAAAGCCTTATGTGCATAGCCCAGCACCTAGAATCAGTGTGGAGGATGGAGCCTGTCTGCTTAGTGGACCTGGTGAGGCTCTTTTTTTTTTTTTTTTTTTTTTTTTCTTTTTTTTTTGAGATGGCGTTTCGCTCTTGTTACTCAGGCTGGAGCGCAATGGCGCGATCTTGGCTCACCGCAACCTCCGCCTCCTGGGTTCAGGCAGTTCTCCTGCCTCAGCCTCCCGAGTAGCTGGGACTACAGGCACCTGTCACCACATCCGGCTAATTTTGTATTTTTAATAGAGACAGGGTTTCTCTGTGTTGGTCAGGCCGGTCTTGAACTCCCAACTTAAGGTGATCCACATTCCTTGGCCTCCCAAAGTGCTGGGATTACAGGTGTGAGCCAGTGCACCCTGTTTTTTTTTTTTTTTTTTTTCATTTTTGTTTTGAGATGGAGTTTTGCTGTCACCCAGGCTGGAGTGTGTGTGTGGTGGAGCAATCTCAGCTCACTGCAACCTCTGCCTCCAGGGTTAAAGTGATTCTCCCACTTCAGTCTGTTACGCTAGCATTGCAGTCGTACCCCACCTTGGCTGGCTAGGTTTTTTTTGTATTAATAGAGACCGGGTTTCACCATGTTGGTTAGGGTAGTCTTGGACTTCTGGCCCCAATTGATCCACCTGCCTTGGCCTCCCAAAGGGCTGGGATTACCGTAGTGAGTCACTGTGCCCGGCCTCCAGTGACGCTTCTTAAAGTGTCCTGGGGTGTGACATGTGCTTGTTGGAGAGGTTGGTACCGAGTCACCTGCCTCCCCAGAAGTTCCCAGGGTGGGAGCTGCTCAGTGTCAAGGGTCTCTGCCTCACTCCCTGGTCACTGGGTGACTGAGGGGTGTCAGGCCCCTGTCCTCATCTCTTGGTGAATGGGAGGTATCAACCCTCTCTTCCCCAGTCCTAGGATTCTGCAACTCAGGCCACGTTTTGCAAATGTGGAAACTGAGGCCCAAGTGGGAGAAGCACCTGTGCTGAGCGGAGCTAGGACTCAGGTGCTCTGCGCTGAGTGGGGCTGGGACCCGGGCGCTCTGCGCTGAGTGGGGCTGGGACCCGGGCGCTCTGCGCTGAGTGGGGCTGGGACCCGGGCGCTCTGCGCTGAGTGGGGCTGGGACCCGGGCGCTCTGCGCTGAGTGGGGCTGGGACCCGGGCGCTCTGCGCTGAGTGGGGCTGGGACCCGGGCGCTCTGCGCTGAGTGGGGCTGGGACCCGGGCGCTCTGCGCTGAGTGGGGCTGGGACCCGGGCGCTCTGCTGAGTGGGGCTGGGACCCGGGCGCTCTGTGCTGAGTGGGGTGGGACTCAGGTGTTTTGTGCTGAGTGGGGCTGGGACCCAGGCGCTCTGTGCTGAGTGAGGCTGAGACCCAGGTGCTCTGCGCTGAGTGGGGCTGGGACCCGGGCGCTCTGTTGAGTGGGGCTGAGACCCAGGTGTTCTGTGCTGAGTGGAGCTGGAACACAGGCATTCTGTACTGAGGGTGCTGGAACCGGGTGCTCTGGGGTCCAGGTGGGCAAGGGCCAAGAGGGCCCAGGGTGGTACAGGCCGGCATACTGTCCACAGAGGAGCCCAAGGTGGGCATCAAGACCATCAAGGTGTACTGCCAGCGCATGCAGGAGGAGAACATCACCCGCGCCCTCATCGTGGTGCAGCAGGGCATGACGCCCTCTGCCAAGCAGGTGAGCGCCCCACCTCCAGCCCCCACCAGCCTCTCACCCTCCCCAGCCTCCCGTGGGTGGTGCCAGCAGGCGGCCCACATGCCTTGGGCCACGCCAGCCAGGGTACCCTGGAGGATGTGGCCGGATGTTTGGCAAGCCCCGACTGTTTCCCACCCTGTCCATGGGCCACAGTGCTGAACCCCATCCCCATCCCAGGCAGCTGCCATCCTCCCCTGGCTCTCAGGAGGGCATCAGAGCAGAGGGCACCTTGCCTCTCTCTCCAGCTCTGTGGGCTCCAGCCCTTGGCCTGGTGCACCCTTCAGGACCCAGAGACTCTTTCTTGAGCTGATGTCCAGCGGGATGTGCTGAGGAGGCCTGTCGTGTCCCCCATCTGTCTGTTGGACACTCCTGAACCTCCATGTCCCCCGTCTGTCTGTCAGGCACCGTGAGCCAGGCAGCCGTGTTGCGACAGGCAGTCAGTGGAGCAGCTTGGTCTCTGGCCCACTGGGTTTTGGGTTCACAAAGCCACACAAAGCAGCGCCTCTGTATTGGGAAGAGGTCGCTGTGCCCACTTGAGGGCTGCCCGTGGAAGTGTCTGACGGGTGGAAACACAGCCTCATTACTGCTTGTGACAGGAGGCCCTTGGGATGAGCAGAGAGGCTGGGGAGGGGTGGGTTTTTGAAGGCCCCTGGGCTGGCGGTGGGGGTTCTGATTTACGACATGGGGTGTGTTGTTGGCACGCGAGTAAGCCGCCTGTAGCCTGAGGCAGGAAATGGAGCTGGGGTTGTCAGGGCCCCTCCTGGCTGTGTCTGAGTCTCTCTCTCTCCCAGTCTCTGGTTGACATGGCTCCCAAGTACATCCTGGAGCAGTTTCTACAGCAGGAGTTGCTCATCAACATCACAGAGCATGAGGTGGGTGCCCTGCCCCGGAGCCCCGCCTGTGGGGTCCCAGAGATGCAGGATTGGCAGGTGGCCAGGAAGATGTGGGATACGGGGCTCGGGCTGGCACTCCTGCTAGCACATGGAAGGCAGGGTCCTCACAGGGTGGCCCTGGGCCCGCAGCAGCTGAACCCGAGAACTTCCTAGAAATGCAGGATCCCGCTGGGATCGGTGACTCAGGCCTGTAATCCCAGCACTTGGGGAGGCCAAGGTGGGTGGATGACAAGGTCAGGAGTTCAAGACCAGCCTGGCCAAGATGGTGAAATCTTGTTTCTACTAAAATACAAAAAAATAGCTGGGCGTGGTGGCACATGCCTGTAATCTTAGCTCCTCTCAAAGCTGAGAGGAGGAGGTTGCAGTGAGCTGAGATCTCGCCACTGCACTCCAGCCTGGGTGACAGAGCAAAGCTCTGTCTCAGAAGGAAAAAAGATGCAGGGTCCCAGGCCCGTCCCAGCCTATGGAACAGGGACTGTGGTGCGTGTGGAGGGACCCTAGTGCCACTGACCCAGCAGGAGTCTGGGTCGAGTCCCAGGAGCTGGACAGCAGCAGCCCGTGCTGAGGGCCTCCCAGCTGACCCTGACCCACGCCAGAGGTGTTGCCATGTCAGCTGCCACACTTTGCACTCAGCCCAGAGTGGGGCTTAGCCAGGTCTGACTTTGGCCGCGTTCCTTTAAAGGAGGTGACGGTGTCCCAGCCCATCTACTTCAGAAGCTCCAGGAGCTGTGCCCCTGCAGACTCCACCCCTGCCTGTGGAGCTGGGGTGGGGCAGGATAGGCTCTGAGTGCCGGGTGGTAGTACCTGGGAGCCCCATGGGGTCTGGCCCAGCCCTTGGTGATGTCTGCTGGCCTTCTCTCTCACCAGCTGGTCCCTGAGCATGTCGTCATGACCAAGGAGGAAGTGACGGAGCTGCTGGCCCGATAGTATCCTTTCCAGCCCCGCTGGCCTCTGCCCCACCTGTGCCTCTGGATTTCCACATCCCCCCACCCCCACCCCTACCCCATGACTCCACCCGGCGTTTTCCTGACCCTGCTTCCCAGTAAGCTCCGAGAGAACCAGCTGCCCAGGATCCAGGCAGGGGACCCCGTGGCTCGATATTTCGGGATAAAGCGTGGACAGGTAAGCCTTCAGGGGAAGGGGCCCTGGGGGGGGGCTCTGTGCTGACCACTAGTCGGCAGGGGCTGCTGTCCCCTCCAACAGCCCCCTCCTTGACACTGGGCCCAGAGAACAGCATGACCCCAGGTTCCCAGGGTCAGCATCTCGGGCCCCTGTGGGCCCTCCCCAGCTGGTGTGCTGCCCACTGCCCGTAGTGAGGCCTCAGCCCCTGCGCTCCTGCCCCCACAGGTGGTGAAGATCATCCGGCCCAGCGAGACAGCTGGCAGGTACATCACCTACCGGCTGGTGCAGTAGCCGCCACCTGGACAGGTACCAGCTGTGGGGTCAGATGTGGGGGTGTTCTGGCTTTGTCCACCCAGCAGGCCCCACCCAGTGCTGGGCCATCAGGGCACCCCAGCCCGCACCCGGCTGCAGCTCCTGGGGCCCTGTTCCTGGGAGGGAGCCATGGTACTGTTCCCCCCGCCGGTGACCTGCCATAGCAGGAGACGCCCCTGCGTGGCGGGACTTTCCAGAAGAGGGTTTAGAAACCTGCCCAGAGACCCCAGTGGTCAGTCAGACAGGAGGGTGGCTTCAGGCCAACCCTTCCCTGAGTGGGCACCTGGGGAGGGACTGGCCCGAGTCCCGGGAGCTGGACAGCATCGGCCCGTGCTGAGGGCCTCCCAGCTGACCCTGACCCACGCCAGAGGTGTTGCCTTGTCGGCCGCCACACTTTGCACTCAGCCCGGGGATGGGGCTCCGCCAGGTCTGACTTGGGCCGGGTTCCTTTAAAGTCAGAGTCACTGCCCACACCTGAGACCACCCCCTCTCTGCACTGTGGCCTGGGCCTCCTGCAGCCCCTCATGCTCAGCAGTGGGTGTCAGGCTGTTCTGGGCAGACTGGATCTGCTCCCCCCTCCTCAAGCCACCTACCTCCCCTTTCCTAGCTCCCACAGGCGGCCACACACACAGTGACCTGGTCACCCACAGGAGGGTGCCCCTGCTGGAGTCCAGCCCCCCAGCTCCTTCAGCTGCTGCTCCTCTGGACTCCCCAAGGCAAGCAGCCCCCACCTGAATTCTCCCATCCTGGGGTGAGGCTTCCTATGGATTTGTGCCAGATGCAGCCTCAGGAGGGACAGGACCCAGTGAGGCCACTTGGTGCCTTGGGTCCTCACCTGGACTGTGCAGAGTTCCCTGGGTTGGGGGCTTGGGGCCTGTCTCCCACCAGCCACTGCTGCTTCCCGGGTGCTCAGCCTCCCAACTCATCTTCCCTCCCTCAGCTCCTTACTGGGCCTGCGGCAGTGACTTTTCTCTTCCTCACACCTCTCTACTGCAGGGCCCTCCATGTCCTCTCCCTGGTCCCTTCTGCCAAGGTTGCAGCTGCCCCAAAGAACAGACCTGATTAGAAACTTTATTCCAGCAAAATAAACGTGCCTGTGAGAGAATTCCACGGTGGCTCGGAGACCCCAGTGTACCTGAGCCCCAGGTGGCCATACTGGCTTTCTGGAAAAGGGGGTCCAGGGCCTGTGTCCAGACCCTGCTGTAATGCACTCTTGACACCCCTCCAAGCCCCAGCCTCTGCCCCCATCCGAGGATCCCAGAATGGCTTCTGGAGGCCCAGTTCCTGCAGACCTGTGAGGAGGGCAGGGTCTCCGTCCGTCATGCACACAGCCCCAGGGGCACCACCAGGGCCACGGTGGCTTCACGGACAGCAGTGATGCCCCCCACTTGGCCCAGCCAGGCCTGCAAAGGAGTGCGGGGCACACTCCGCACAGCCCCAAGGCCTCATGCTCCTGGAGGCATGGCCTCCAGCCCCAGGATGGCTGCTGAGCTACGCCACGGGGCTGGGACGCTCTGGAGATGGACAGGAGCACGCAGGAGAAGCCGCCACCCGCGCTCCTGGCCCTACCCCAGTTCAGACGAACTCTGGCTGCCTCGCTCTGCAGGAGCCAAGTGCAATCCACCCACCACGGAGCCTCATGGGGGGCAGTGGGGCCTGCGGCACGTTGTTGGAGTGGTTGGTGTTGAACCCTGAGAGCTGCAGAGCTGAGCCCCCGTCCCCGTCCCCATCCTCATCCTCTCTGGCCACAGCCTCCAGCTGTTCTTCACTACCACTATGGCTGCCAGAAGCCTCCTCCAGGCTGGCCTCGTGCTGGTGCTGCTCCAGGAAGCTGAGGCGGCGCAGGGCACTGGCCTCCGATGAGGACAGCAGCTCGGAGGCCTCCTCCAGGTCCGAGTCGGAGTCGTTGGACACAACTCGGGATTCTGAGGAAGGGAGATGGAGGGAAGAGAGAGATGGGGAGAAACAGTGGAGGGAGGGAGGAGAGGACTGTTAATGTGGCCTGGCTGTCCGACCCAAGTCTCATCTGGTAGCTCCCATAATTCCCACGTTGTGGGAGGGGCCTGGCAGGAGACGGTGGAATCGTGGGGCAGGTCTTTCCTGTGCTGTTCCCATGACAGTGAGTCTCACCAAGATCTGGAGCCAGGTGCGGTGGCCACTCTGGGAGGCTGAGGTGGGTGGATTGCCAGGTCAGGAAATCAAGAGCAGCCTGGCCAACATGGTAAAACCTTGTCTCTACTAAAAATACAAGATCTAGGCTGGTGGTGCGTGCCTGTAATGCCAGCTGCGCAGGACACTGAGGCAGAATTGCCTGAACCTGGGAGGTGGAGTTTGCAGCCAGCTGAGCGCACGGCGTCGCACTCCAGCCTGGAGACAGCTAGACTCCATCTCAAACAACGAACCGAGTTTCCCGGCCTGGTGCAGGGGCTCACACCTATAATCCCAGAGTTTTGGAAGCCGAGGCGGACAGATCACGAGGTCAGGAGTTTGAGACCAGTCTGCCCAACATGCTAAAACCCCACCTCTCCTAAAAATGCAAAACTTGGTCGGGCATGGCCAGGTGTGGTGGTTTATCCCTGAAATCCCAGCGCTTTGGCAGGTCACCTGAGGTCGGGAGTTTGAAACCAGCCTGGCCAACCCTATCTCTGCTAAAAATACAAAAATTAGCCGGGCGCCGTGGTTCATGCCTGTACTCCCAGCACTTCGTGAGGCCAAGGTGGGCGGATCACGAGGTCAGGAGATTGAGACCATCCTGGACAACTTGGTGGAACCCCATCACTAAAATACAAAAGAAAAGCCGGGCATGGTGTTTCCAGCTGTTCACAGGCTAAGGCCAGGAAATTGCTTTAACCGGGAGGCGGAGGTTGCAGTGAGCCGGGATTGCACCACCGAACTCCAGCCTGGAGACAGGGAGACTGTCTCCAAATCAGGTGAACGTGGGGGCAGGTGCCTGTAATCTCAGCTACTTGGGAGGCTGAGGCAGGAAAATTGTTTGAACCCTGGAGGCGGAGGTGGAAATGAGCAGAGATGGAGCCAGGCTGGGGGCGGGTGTCCTGGCACAGGCTCTCTGCCGCCATCCATGCAGGATGTGACTTGCTCCTAGCCTTCCACCATGTATTTCAGGCCTCCCCACCTACATGGAACTGAGTCCATTAAACATCTCTCGTAAATTGCCCAGTCTCAGCTGTGTCTATCAGCAGCGTGAAAAGTAGAACAGGTGTCCTGGAACTAGAGGCAGTGCCCAGGGCCGGCCACCTGGGTCAAACCCCCGGCCCGGGCCCTTCCCTACAAAATGAGGCTCCCTTGGGAAAGGCATTTAGCCCAGCCCGTGGCTGGTGCACCTGGAGCCTCAAAAGGCACTGCCTTGCCTGTTTGCAGGAGGTTAAAGGGAAACGAGTAGCTCAGAGGTGTGGACTCCATGGCAGACAAAATCCACTGTCTGTGCAGCTGCACTGTGTACACAACTGGGTCATGGCACCTGTGCCCGTGGGTGCCGCACACCAGCCTAGCCTCCTTCGGGGCTGCTCGGGCACCCACACACTCACCTCCGGCCGTGTCTTCCGCTGCCTCCGGGAGGGGGTAGACCATCCCCTCGCCTGCCTCCACGTACGGCACCTGGATGACCACCTCAGCCCGCTGACTGCATGACTCGTCCTGCAGGGGCGGACCAGAAGTTAGGGAGGGGCCGGGCTCCATTTTCCATGTTGTAAATTAACGAGTACCCGCAGCCCCTAACAGCTCCTGACACCTGCTGCTGCCCAGGCGGTGACCACACTGGCCTTTCCCAGGAGGTACATGGCCCGGGCATTTCTTAAAGTCCGCTCCTGTCCCCAGCCCATCTGGGGTTTCTCCCGAGAGCTCCTACAACAGGAGCACGGGACCGAAGGCTGCGTTCAGCAGACACTGTCAGAGCTTCAGGTGCCGCTGTCCAGAGGCTGCACCCCAGGTGGTCCGTCCTCAGCCAAGACGAAACCAGCTCCTAACACCCAGAGATACTGGAAGATGGACTAAAACATCCAATAGCTAGGCTGGGCACAGTGGCTCGAACCTGTAATTCCAGCACTGGGAGGCCAAGGAGGGGGGTATTACTTGAGGTCAGGAGTTCAAGACCAGCCAGGCCAACAAAGTGAAACACTCTCTCTACTAAAAATATAAAAATCGGCCCGGCGCAGTGGCTCACGCCTATAATCCCAGCACTTTCAGAGACCGAGGCGGGTGGATCACGAGGTCAAGAGATCGAGACCATCCTGGTCAACATGGTGAAACCCCGTCTCTACTAAAAATACAAAAATTAGCTGGGCGTGGTGGCGCGTGCCTGTAATCCCAGCTACTTGGGAGGCTGAGGCAGGAGAATCGCCTGAACCCAGGAGGCGGAGGTTGCGGTGAGCCGAGATCGCGCCATTGCACTCCAGCCTGGGTAACAAGAGCGAAACTCCGTCTCAAAAAGAAAAAAAAAAAATTAGCTGGGTGTAGTGGTTCGAGCCTGTAGTCCCAGGTACTCGGGAGGCTGAGGTTGCAGTGAACCAAGACTGTACCACCCCACTCCGGAGTGTGCAACAGATAATCCATCTCAAAGAAAAAAATAGAAGCACCTGACCAGGCATGGTGGCTCACACCTGTGATCCTAGCACTTTGAGAGGCTGAGGCAGGCAAACTGCCTGAGCTTCGGAGTAGAGACCAACCTGGGCAACAGAGTGAAACCCCGTCTCTACTAAAATACAAAAAAATGAGCAGGGCATGGCGGTGTGCACCTGTCATCCCGGCTACTCAGGAGGCCAAGGCAAGAGTTCACGCTACTGCACTCCAGCCTGGGCAAGGCGACAGACCAATACTCTATCTCCAAAAAAAAAAAAAAACACCCAGGACCAGAAATCAGGAGGATGGAGATGCCGCTAAGAAATGAGATAAAGTGACCGGGCGCGGTGGCTCACGCCTGTCATCCCAGCACTTTGGGAGGCCGAGGCGGGTGGATCACGAGGTCAAGAGACCAAGACCATCCTGGTCAACATGGTGAAACCCCGTCTCTACTAAAAATACTAAAAATTAGCTGGGCATGGTGGCGCGTGCCTGTAATCCCAGCTACTCGGGAGGCTGAGGCGGGAGAATTGCCTGAACCCAGGAGGCAGAGGTTGCGGTGAGCCGAGATCGCGCCATTGCACTCCAGCCTGGGTAACAAGAGTGAGACTCCGTCTCAAAAAAAAAAAAAAAAAAAAAAAAAAGCCTGTAATCCCAGCACTTCGGGAGGCAAAGGCGGGAGGATCCCTTAAGCCCAGGAGTTCCTCCCGAGCCTGGACAGCACAGCGAGACCCAGTCTCTACAAATAAATAAAACACACAAGTGAGCCGGGTGTGGTAGTGGAGCACACCTGTGGTCCCAGCTACTTGAGAGGCTGGACCAGGAGGATCACCTGAGCCCAGGCGGTGGCGGCTGCAGTGATCCGTGAAGGCACTACTGCTCTTCAGCCTGGGCCACAGAGCAAAACCGGCTTCAAAGAAGCTCAAAAAAGAAAGAAAGAAAACACAACTCGTAAAAAGGACAATGTGAAGCGGGGAACTGACGCCCGGCAGAGTGCGGTGGTGGCTCGGGAGGGCTGTGGACGGCTGTGGACACCTGGGCCAGTGGAGAGCTTGTGGCCGCAGGCAGCACCGGGGTGGGGAACGGGGAAGGGGGCTGTGGCTGCAGGATGAGGCCTGATGCCAGCTCCTATGGAGAGTGGAGGGGCCAACGCAGGGCCTTTGCACCTCCGCTAGATTCAATGCAGACCTCGCCCAGTTCTTTACACAAAACACCCAGGCCCCCAAACTATCTCCCTGTGGTTCCTTGGGCCTCATCCCACAACCAGTGTGCCCAGCCCCGAGTGGGCAGCCCTGGTCAGGCCCACACCCTCACCTGGCCCCTGGGAGTCTCTTCCGACTCATCCTCGAAGACCAGGCCATAATGCACGATGAGGGTCTCGATGACGCGGGCCTGGTGGGGGTAATCCACCAGGGAGGACAGGGACACGGTGGCCTCGGTGGGCCGTGGCCGAAGCAGCGTGGGCCCAAACACGATGCCCAGGTTCCCGGGGGTCATCTTGTTGTCCTGCTCCACCTCCACGATCCTGCAGGGCGGGCAGGGCCAGGTGCTGAGAAGCTCCCGGGACCCCGCACCCTCCACCCTCCACCCCGTGCGCCGGCGAGCCTCACCTGCGTAGGTGCCGCAGCAGGTACTGCAGCGAGGCGCGGTTATCGGGCGGCAGGTCCCGCAGGAGCTCCCGCAACCGACCCGCCATGGCCACCACCGCTGCGTCGCTCTCCGAGCCATCATGCCGGCCCCGGGTCGCCGCCTTGGCCTCGGCCTCCGCCTTCAGGCTGTCCTTGGCCAGCCCCACGAGCTCGTGGTAGAAGCGGAACGAGATGAGCGGCTCTGGCAGCTGCGAGGAGCCAAGGGTCAGCTGAGGTTGATAGCCTGGCCCAGCCCTCACGAGTGCCAGCCACGCTCCCACCCTCAGCCCCACCCCCACCAAGCACTGACGACGCTCCACGGAGCACAGGTTCCAGCCAGTGCAGCAGGTTCCACTCGGTGCAGTGGGTTCCACTCGGTGCAGTGGGTTCCACGCGGTGCACTGTCAGTCCCCTGTTCCAACCAGCATGAGCTCTGGCCTTCCCACCCGGGCCACGCGCCATCCCAGCCCTTTCCTCGCACTGCCCACGCCCATCCTGCCCGAGAGTATCCCAACGAGCTCGTGCTCTATTCAGCATAGTCTGACCCTTTCCCCACCACCTGCGAAGTGCGGGACCCTTTCCCCACCACCTGCGAAGTGCGGGACCCTTTCCCCACCACCTGCGAAGTGCGGGACCCTTTCCCCACCACCTGCGAAGTGCGGGACCCTTTCCCCACCACCTGCGAAGTGCGGGACCCTTTCCCCACCACCTGCGAAGTGCGGGTCCCTTTCCCCACCACCTGCGAAGTGCGGGTCCCTTTCCCCACCACCTGCGAAGTGCGGGTCCCCCTCCCCTCCCCTCCCCTCCCCTCCCATCCCATCCCAGATCTTCCTTGGCCATGACCACGCCCCAGACCAGCCCCGCCCTTCCCTGCCCACAACCACGCCCCAGCCCCGCCCCTCCCACAGCCATTTCAAGCCAGCCCCGCCCTTCCCCACCCATAGCCACGGCCCCAGACCAGCCCCACCCTTTCCCACCTATGACCACTCCCCCAATACCAGCTCCTGTCCTTCCGGGGCTATGACCACGCCCCTAGTCCCAGCCCCGCCCGCCTCATCCATGACCACGCCCCTACCCCACCCTTAACCGGTCATGCCCACGCCCCTAGCCCCAGCCCCGCCCCTGCCAAGACCTGATCACACCGACCCAGCCACGCCCCATTAGGCCCAGGTCCCACCCCCAGTCCTGCACCTGCCTAGCCTCAGCCGCGCCCCTACCCTCCTCGGGGTCCCTGCCGAGCACTGAACTTGCCCATCCTGCTCTAGCCACGCCCCACCGACCGCTGGCCCCGCCCCAGAACGTCAGATGTGCTCCGCCGGGGCCACGCCTCTCCCACGGGGCCCACCCAGCTGACCAAGCCACACCCAGCCGCTCCAGTCCCTATCGGGTCCCCTGCACAGATCTGGCCCCGCTCCGCTCCTGCCCTGACCACGCACCCAGCCTCAGCCGCCCCCCACGCCAGGCGCTGTGCCGCCCACCCGCTCCAGGCCGGGTGCATCGACAATCTTGCAGCCCCTCCGGGCCCCCACCGCACCTCCTCCCGCCGCGCTGCTCTCCTTCCAAGCTCTGCAAGGCCACCTCCGGTGGGTCTCACCTGGCGCAGGTAGAGCTTGAGGACGTTGCTGATGTCGTGGGGTGAAGCCTGCGACAGCTCCACCAGCTCCTTGCCGTTCTCGAAGGCCTGGCACAGCTTCTCCACGCGCGTCTTTACCCCATTGACACGGTAGATGCCCTGCAGGGGCACGAGGGTGGGGGGCACATCAGCCTCAGCCCACGCCGGCCTCCCTGCTGGGAGCCACCTCCACCTTGCCTCACCTTGGTGCGCAGCGCCCGCCGTTCGATCTCGCAGACGCACTTCTTGATGATGAAGGGCACGCCGTCGGGGGCACTGCGGGCCGCCTGGCTGAAATCCTGTCCGAACAGCTGCAGGCGGCCCTGCAGCTTCTTGTGCCCGCACTGGATGGCCAGCGTCTCTAGGCATTTCTTGTGGCAGGCCAGGCAGCACTGGGGGCGCCGGAGTGAGTGAGCGCAGCCCCAGGGTGCCCGGCTCCACCCACCTACCTCGGGCCCCTCACTGCCACCGAACGGCAGCTTCTGCAAACACCAGCTAGAGAGTGGATCATGGCTTCCTCCCCAGGGGCGATCCAACCGGCCACTCCAGCCTCCTCTCCTTCCCCTCCCACCCTTGGCTTTCTGGTCTGAGCCCCAGGGCCTTTGCACAGACTATGGCCGCGCCTGTGCTGCAATCCCCAGATGCCCTGGGGGCGCCTCATTCTACCCACTGCCTCCAGGCCTCAGAGGGCCAACCCCGTCCCTAAACCTAAAAGAGCCCACCCTACCCCCTCCGTTCCCTTCCCCCCAAAGGCTCCTAACTGCTCCCTGCTCTGGGCTGGACCTTCCCGAGGGCGCACAGGCGGGCGGTGCCGGGCACCTCCAAGGCTCCCTGCTGTCCGTGGGGACGTCCCACTCACCTCCTCACACTCGGCACCCTGGAAGTAGACGTAGCTGTTGCACTCTCGGCACTTGGCGGGCGTGCGGAGCTTCCGGAGCCGGTGGGTTCGGGCTGCCTTGGACAGCCCCTCATGGCGGAACGGCCCACTGGGCACAGCCACCGGCAGCTCGGGGGTCATGTCATTGAGGTCAGCTGTGGGCAGCACAGGCGGCCAGTGTCACCAAGGCAGGTCAGGGCCAGGCCCGTCGACAGTGTCCAAACCACCCCCCACCACCATCTCCCTGGCTCCGTCAGGGGACCCTCACCCTGCTCGAAGGCCGAAGCCCCGGGTCCCCGCTCTGAGTCCACCAGCTCCTCCGTGGACGACATGGTGCCACTGGATGATGTCCGCTCAAACTTCTTAAAGTCCCCTAAGTGGGAATCAGTGCCGATCAGACTCCCTGAGCCAGGTGGGCCCCCTCCATTACCCCCGGTGCGTGATGAACCCCTGAGGCCCAGGAGGGAATCAGTGCCAATCAGACTTCCTGAGGCAGGTGGGCCCCCTCCATTGCCCCCGGTGCGTGATGAACCCCTGAGGCCAAGGAGGGAATCAGTGCCGATCAGACTCCCTGAGCCAGGTGGGCCCCCTCCATTGCCCCCGGTGCGTGATGAACCCCTGAGGCCCAGGAGGGAATAAGTGCCAATCAGACTTCCTGAGCCAGGTGGGCCCCCTCCATTGCCCCCGGTGCGTGATGAACCCCTGAGGCCCAGGAGAGGTGGCAGCTCCACACCCCAGCCCGCCCGAGTGCCTCCCTCACCTGTGCCAGGGTCGGGGTCCAGCCCGGCGTCCGAGTCTGAGATGGCGAGCGGCCACGACTTGTGCACCTGGTGTCCTCGCCCGGCTGGAGAAAGAGACATCTCTGGTGAAGGGCCGGAGTGGGCCACAGGAAGCCAGCGTCCGCCCCACCCCTGGGCCCTGCCGGACACTCACCCCTGTGGTCCTTGGCAGGCGCGCCCTCAATGGAGCCACTTACATCTGGCGGGCTGCTAGCAGCCTCGGCCCCCGCCACATCACCCACGTTGAAGCTGCTCTTCCGGGCACGCATGATGGGGGACCTAGCGGGAGAAACCAGGAGAAGGAGGGGTGGTGATGGGGGACAACGCAGCTTCATCTTCCTGCCCCCGACGGAGGGAAGCCCGGCTCCCAGGCAGGGACGTGGGCGCCGGGGACCGGGCAGCTGGGTGGCGGTACCAGGCGTTGGCAGAGACGTGGGGCTCAAAGTCATAGTGGACGTCGGGCTCCTGGTCCCGCTGCAGCTGGCGCACGTGGGAGGCGTACTGCTGGCCCGGGTCGTACAGCTTGCTGCTCTCACAAAGCATCTGAAAGTGCACGGGCAGCGGCGCCGTCTGCATGTGCATCATCTGATAGTAGGAGATGGTGGCCTGCGGGCGGCACCCAAGAGCGGCGGGGTCAGGAGGGGGCCGGCCTGTCCGCCATCGCCGCCGGGCGGCCGGAGCACCCCACGCACCGACTTGATGGTCTGGTCGCTCTGCCGGATGACCTCCTGGATCTGCCGCAGCGCGGTCACCTTGGTGTCCTCCAGCTCCTGCTTCTGCGTCTTTGCGTCGGCCACGCAGGTGCGGTACGTGGCCATGGCTTCCTCCGCCTGGTGTGGGGTCAAGGGTGCACATAGAGGGAGGCCTCAGCCTGCGGTGCAGGACTGAGACATAAATCCCAGGGAGGCCGGGCTCGTGCCTGTCATCCGGCTCGCTTGAGGCCAAGAGTTCAAGACCAGCCTGAGCAACATAGTCAGACATCATCTATCTTTTACTTTTTCTTTCTTTTTTTTTTTGAGACGGAGTTTCGCTCTTGTCACCCAGGCTGGAGTGCAATGGCGCGATCTCGGCTCACCACAACCTCCGCCTCCCGGGTTCAAGTGATTCTCCTGCCTCAGCCTCCCGAGTAGCTGGGATTACAGGCACGCGCCATCACACCCGGCTAATTTTTTGTAATTTTACTAGAGACGAAGTTTCACCATATTGGCCAGGCTGGTCTCTAACTCCTGACCTCATATGATCTGCCCACCTCAGCCTCCCAAAGGGCTAGAATTACAGGGGTAAGTCACTGCACCCAGCCTGAGACCCTGTCTCCACAAAAAAAAATTTTTTAATTAGCTGGGTGCTGACGGGCGTGGTGGCTCACGCCTGTAATCCCAGCACTTTGGGAGGCCGAGGCGGGTGGATCACGAGGTCAAGAGATCGAGACCATCCTGGCCAACGTGGTGAAACCGTTTCAACTACAATACAAAAAATTAGCTGGGCATGGTGGCGCGTGCCTGTAATCCCAGCTACTCAAGAGGCTGAGGCAGGAGAATTGCCTGAACCCGGGAGGCGGAGGGTGCGGTGAGCCGAGATCGCGCCACTGCACTCCAGCCTGGGCCACAGAGCGAGACTCCGTCTCAAAAAAAAAACAAAAATAAACAGAAAACAAAACAAACAACGAAAACCCAAAAACACAAAGGCCTGGAGGGGGTAAATTTCACCCCAAGTGGCAGCGGCCACGGCCCCTCGGTTTCTTCCTCTGGACCGTCCGGCCCCGCCTCCGCCCACCGTCGCCCACCCTCACCTTGTTCTTGGCCTCCTCCTCCAGCCGCCGCCGCTTATCCAGGGTCTTGGTGGCCGTGCCGCCCGCCCCAGGCGCAGTGCCAGCCTGCTCCTCCTCCGCCTTGGCCATGAGGAAGCGCGCCTTGTCGTGGTCCTCGCAGCGCTGGACGTAGCTCTGCTTTGCCTTACGCAGGTTGGCCTCCGCCTCTTGCTGTGGACGCGGGAGCCCGGAGGTCAGTTCCCACCCTGTCCTCCGACAGGGCTCAGTTCCTGCTCCTCCCTTCCTCCCCACCCCATCTCTCTCACCAAGACCCCGTGGCCCAGTGGGTCGTGCAGAGGACCCTGCCCAGTGATGGAAAATGGAAGAATGGGGCCGAGGTGGGTGGATCACGAGGTCAAGAGATCGACACCATCCCGGTCAACATGGTGAAACCCCGTCTCTACTAAAAATACTAAAAATTAGCCGGGCATGGTGGCGCGTGCCTGTAATCCCAGCTACTCGGGAGGCTGAGGCAGGAGAATTGCCTGAACCCAGGAGGCGGAGGTTGCGGTGAGCCGAGATCGCGCCATTGCACTCCAGCCTGGGTGACAAGAGCCAAACTCCGTCTCAAAGGAAAAAAAAGAAAGAAAACGGAAGAACGGGAGGAGGGCAGGACGCGGTGGCTCACGCCTGTAATCCCAGCACTTTGGGAGGCCGAGGCGGGCAGATCACTGGAAGACCAGCCTGGCCAACATGGTGAAACCCCATCTCTGCCCAAAATATAAAACATTAACCGGGTGTGGTGGCACGCAGCTGCAATCCCAGCTACTCGGGAGGCTGAGGCACAAGAACAGCTTGAGCCCAGGGGGTGGAGGTTGCGGTGCGCAGAGATCGAACCACTGCCCTCCAGCCTGGGCAACAGAGCAAGATTCCATCTCAAAATAAATAAATAAAAGGCCAGCCACGATGGCTCAAGCCTGTAAGCCCAGCGCTCTGGGAGGCGGAGGCAGGCAGATCACCTGAGGTCGGGAGTTCAAGACTGGCCTGAGCAACGTGGAGAAACCCCATCTCTACTAAAAATACAAAATTAGGGCCAGGCGCGGTGGCTCACGCCTGTAATCCCAGCACTTTGGGAGGCCGAGTCAGGTGGATCACGAGGTCAAGAGATCGAGACCATCCTGGTCAACATGGTGAAACCCCGTCTCTACTAAAAATACAAAAAATTAGCTGGGCATGGTGGTGCGTGCCTGTAATCCCAGCGCTTTGGGAGGCCGAAGCCCTCGGATCACGAGATCAGGAGTTCAAGACCGGCCTGGCCAACGTGGTGAAACCTCGTCTCTAAAACTACAAAAGTTAGCTGGGTGTGGTATTGGGCGTCTGTCATCCCAGCTGCTCAGGAGGCTGAGGCAGGAGAGTTGCTTGAACCCGGGAGGCGGAGGTTGCAGCGAGCCCAGATGGGGCGACAGAGCGAGACTCTGGAAGCACCAGCAATGGGACCCTCGGAGGAATGGGTGTCTCGTGAGCCCGGGAAGCTGAGGCACAGCTGAGCTCCCAACAGAGGCACGCACGGCGGCCCCTGCAGACCCCCCCACCATCCCCCACGGGAGCAGGCCAGCATCTCCAGGCTCTGTTGCTTTCACTTCCCTCCTCACAGACGAGCACAGAGAAGCCGCCCAGGCAGGAAGCCATGAACCCACAGGGTGGCAGGAAGAGCAGTTAGTCAAAAACCCGTGGGCTCGGGGGCCACACCTCACAACCTGCACCACCAGATTCACACGTAAACAAACGGACCCATCCAATTGCTAGGAGATGGCCAGGCTCACGCCTGTAATCCCGGTGCTTTGGGAGGCCGGGGCAGGAGGATCGATTGAGGCCAGGAGTTCAAGACCAGCCTGGCCAACATAGTGAAACCCCATCCCTACAAAAAAAAAAAAAAAATTGCTCAAGCCTGTAATCCCAGCACTTTGGGAAGCCGAGGCGGGTGGATCACGAGAGATCGAGAGCATCCTGGTCAACAAGATGAAACCCCGTCGCTACTAAAAATACAAAAAATTAGCTGGGCACGGTGGTGCGTGCCTGTAATCCCAGCTACTCGGGAGGCTGAGGCAGGAGAATTGCCTGAACCCAGGAGGCGGAGGCTGCGGTGAGCCGAGATCGCGCCATTGCACTCCAGCCTGGGCAACAGAGCAAGACTCGTTCTCAACTGAAAAAAAAAAAAAAAAAAGGACTATTCCTAACGTCATTACTGCTAACAATCGTAGGGTTCTACCTGGCAAAATAGGCCACAGGTAAAATCCAAAGTCAAACAATAAATGTGGGAGGGGGATGTCAGGAGTCTAATATATCATTAAGGCCTAAGTTCTCTAATATGTAAAAAGTTCTGACAGATCAATAACAAGCCTCTGCAAAGTAAGCAAAGGATAGGAACTGAAGGTTCACAAACCGGGAAAAGCACTGCCGTGCCCTGGGAAGGCAGCTTCTACACGCATGCCCCTTGACCCAGCAGTTCCATTTTGGGCACTGATCCCAGATAAACCCTCAGGCATCCTTGAGACGGGGGCACAAGCTTGTCATAGCAATGGGGTTTGTAACGGCAGCGGCTCAGCCACACCCTAAACGTCCATGAAATCACCTATTCGACCTCCCCAGCTGAGCCCTGCACAGCAGAAAAAAGGGGTCCAGCCTGCTTCATGTTGACTGATACGGGGTGAGCCTCTCTATTTAGAGGTGAGGATAGAAATCGGGAGCAGAACAGGGTAGGAGGTGAGCTGTCCTCACGTGCACCCAAGTGGGCCGACGTGTGTTTGCTGCTATGGGCTGGAAGGAACTAGGAAGGTGCATTTCACCAGACCCTGTTGACACAAGGTGCAAAGAAACAAAAACGGGCGACACAGTGAGTCTCAAAAAATTATCCGGGTATGATGGCTGGTGCCTGTAGACCCAGCAACGCAGGAGGCCGAGGTGGGAGGATCATTTGAGCCCAGGAAGTCAAGTCTGCAGTGAGGTATGATTGCACCACTGCACTCCAGCCTGGGCAACAGAGCAAGACCCTATCTCAAAAAAAAAAAAAAAAGTAGCCGGGCGCGGTGGCTCACGCCTGTCATCCCAGCACTTTGGGAGGCCGAGGCGGGTGGATCACGAGGTCAAGAGATCGAGACCATCCTGGTCAACATGGTGAAACCCCGTCTCTGCTAAAAAGACAAAAACTATCCAGGTGTGGTGGAAGGCTCCTGTAATCCCAGCTGCTGGGGAGTCTAAGACAGAACTGTTTGAACCGGGGAGACGGAGGTTGCCGTGAGCCGAGATGGTACCGTGCACTCCAGCCTGGGCAACACAGCAAGACTCCATCTCAAAAAAAAAAAAAATATATGCAGGCAGAGCATGGAGCCTTCACTAGTCCTGAGGGAGGATCAGTCTCCCTCCATTCCGGGGACCTGCTGCTCACAACCAAGGGAGGCACAGCTTCTCCCCATTTCTGCAGGAACGGAGTGCGCCCCGGGGTCCTGGGTCCTCCCAGGCAGAGCTGGGGGCGATGGAGCTGGAGCTGGAGCGGGCCGCGCATGCGCAGGAGGCTGGGGCTCACCCACAGCTCGCTGCGGGGTCCCTGCCATGGGGCTGGGGCTGGGACTGCGCCTGCGCTGAGGCCCCGCCCGCCCCCGCCCGACCCTCCCGCCTGCCTCACCAGCTTCCTCTGGGCGCGGTGCCAGGCCTCCTTGATCTCCTTCCTGCGCTTCTCATGTTCAAGCCGCCGCAGGGTCAGGGGCTGGGGCAAGAGGGGCTGTGAGTGGGTACCCTGGAGACACCCCCGCTCAGCCCGCCCTCCCGGGCACCACCCACCTGCATGAAGGTCTGGGTCTGCAAGGTGCCCACTGCCTGCACCATGCCGTGGCCGAACTCCAGGTCCTGCTCCAGGGCCAGCGAGTAGATGGACAGGAGCGGCATGTGCGGCTGTGGGTGGGGGCAGGGTCACTGGGTGGGCAGGGATGGAGGCAGGGCGGCTGCAGCACCCCGAGCCACCACCTCCCTGGTCCCTGCAGCCACCCCCATTAGTATAGAGGGGAAGCCCCTGGCCTTGGCCTCTGGGCCCTTAAAATGGGGCTGAGACTCACAACTGGGCCCAGGGACCCCCACCGCATGCCCACGGGGCCCCCACCTCCTGCATGACGCTCTGTCTGCAGTTGTGAACAATCTTCTGCAGGCCCTTGGCAAACTCCATCTCTGCAGGCCAGGGAGGGGTGTGAGAAGCCGGGACAAGGCCTTCCCAGCCCACCCAGAAGCCCCCCTCCAGGACCGCCCTGCCGGGACCCCCAGCTCTCACCCAGCATGGTCCGCTTCTCCAGGTAGCCAATGAGGTCCTTCATGTACTTCGCCATGTTCTTAGCATAGAGCAGGGCCGCGTCCACACCCCCCTCACAGCGCTGCAGCAGCACGTCCACCTCCTCGGCGGGCAGGCAGCCTGCAGGGGACCAGCCCTGCTCAGCCTGGCCCAACCCCGCAACTGCCCACCCCTCAAACGCCCACCTGCCTGCCACTGGGTGGGGCTTACCAGCGTCGCAGTCCTCAAGGCCGGGAGGGGTGCCCTCACTCCCCGGTCCATACAGGCTTTCCATGGACTGTAGGATGGAGACGCAGGTGAGACCAGCCCCTGGGCGGGGGGTGGGGTGGGGGATGGCTGCCACCCACTACCCCGGACAGAGAGGGGGACCCAGGTGCGCGGGGGAAGCAGGGTGACTGGCCTCCAGAACCTGGACACGGGTGGTCCCGGCCCACCGCACTCACCTGGCTTGAGTCCCCGGGAGGCACTGCTAGGAGGGTGCTGCTGTCCACTTCACCCATGAGGAACTCGGACACTCTGCGGGGCCGAGGGGTCACCATCGAGAGACACCCGGGCCCCCCACGCTCCCTCACTCCGCCCCACGGGCTCCCGAGGCTCACGTGCTGCTGAAGGCCACAGCCATCGTCTCCAGGGTCTTCTCAAACTCCTGTTTCTCCAGATCATTGTTGCACTCGTAATGGAAGGCTGGGAGGCAGAGACAAGGACAAGGAAGTGGGCCCGCCCTGGGAGGTGACCGTCCCTGCAAGAACTGATGGGAGCCCTTAACCCAGGGGGAGCAGCGCGGAGCTGCTGTGCCTATCAAACTCCTATGCATCCTTCAAAACCCACTCTAAGGACGCCCTTCCAGGCAGACAGCCCTGTTCCGGTAGGCTGACCTTTGACCTTGGCAATGAGGGTGCCGGCTGCTGTGAGCGTCTCCACGGTGTTCAGCAGCGGGTACTTGGAGATGACCTGACGCATGACACGCAGGGCCTCACCCAGGCACTCGTGGGCCAGTGGGCGTCGAGCCTCAAGGAGGTCTGCTGGGCAGAGTCGGAGTGAGCAGTGGGGTGGGGCCCAGTCCCAGGGAAGGTCTGTCCACCTCCTCCCTCTTCTTTGGAGCTCCTGTTCCCAGATGGGGAAACTGAGGCAGACGTGGCAGAGGGCAGATGCCTGGGGCTCACTTTGAGACCTCAGGTAGGACCCCGTCCCTCTCTGGGCTGCCGGCCAGGTCATCGAAGGCCAGACCTTGGCCTAGGTACTCTCTGCTGCTCAGAACACTCTTCCTGCCCCTCTTGTCCTTCAAGCTACAGTCCTGCAGCCCCCTTCTCCATGCAGCCCACCGGGCAAACCCTTCCTTGCCCTAACCCCTCAGGACTGCTCAAAGCCCTGCCCAGGTCTCTCTGCCCTTTCTACCTGGGTGAGGAAACTGAGGCATAGTGATGGGAAGCCATTTCTCAACAATCGCACAGCTTTTCCCTCTACACTTGCTTTGAAGGCACGAGATGCCAGGCACAGGGGTCCTGCCTGGCTTCATCGCCAGGACAGCAGGGAGCCATAGAAGGTGTTAGAGCAGAGGAGGGTGGTGGTCAGCTCTGACTGTTGGAACCTGGCTTTCACTGCCCTCGTCAGCCAGGCACAGCGGCTCACACCTGTGACCCCAGCACTTTGGGAGGCTGAGGCTGAGGCAAGGGGGACGACTTGACCCCAGAATTCGAGACCAGCCTGAGCAATATAGTGAGACCCTGTGTCTGTAAGAAATAAAGAACAAAAAGGTAAATGCTCTCATCAAACGTTCTCAACTGGAGGAAGAAAAAAAGCAGAGGGGGCCAAGCGCGGTGGCTCACGCCTGTAATTCCAGCACTTTCGGAGGCCGAGGTGGGCAGATCACTTGAGGTCGGGAGTTCAAGACCAGCCAGGCCAACGTGGTAAAACTCTGCCTCTACTAAAAATGCAAAAAGGAGCTGCTGTGGATGGTGCTTCCCTGCAGTCCTGGCTACCGGGGAGGCTGAGGCAGGAGAATCGCTTGAACCCCCCTCGGAGGCGGAGGTTGCAGTGAGCCGAGATCGAGCCCCCGCACTCCAGCCTGGGCGGCAGCAAAAGAGAAAAGAAAAAAGAAACGAGCCGAGGGCGCAGGAGAAAGAACGAGAGCCAGGCACGCGCCGAGGGTGGAAACCAACCCACGGGGTTCGCGGGAGGGGGAGGGACCGGGAGACACCGAGGCCCGCGGGAGGCGCCGCTCAGAGGCTGCTCCAAATCCTACTGGAGCCTGAAACAGTAACTGCCCCACCCCTTTCCCACCGAGGACCCCGGCTGAGTGTCACCCACGCCGCAGATTCCGCCCGGACCCCGGGCCCCGGACTGCGCTCCAGGCACTTGGGAAGCCGGTTAGGAGGACCCGGCCACGCTCCTTCCCGGGGTCCCTGTGCACCCCCCAACCCGGGGACCCCACGCCCCGCGCACCTGTCCCGTCACCTCGGGGGCCCGCCCTGCAGCGCACGGGACCCTCGTCCAGTGCCGGGTTCGCGGTGCCGCAGATACACATGGCGCAGCCGTCGGGGCGCGGAGACCCCGAGCGCGCGGGGCCCGGCAACTGACCGAGGGGGTCTCCGGTGGCTGCTAGAGGCCAAACCGGCTCCGGCCGGTCTGGAGGCCCCGCCCCCGCGAGGGAAACCCCTCCCCGCCGTCCCCTTAGCCCGCCCCGGCTGGGGCGGCGCGAGTCGAAGTGAGGAGTGTTGAGGACAGGAGGGGAAACTGAGGCCCAGACCCGAAGCCCGGGAAGGAGGCGGACCCGGAAGAGTCGGGGCGGCCCCCGGGGTATCCACCCTGCCCATGTGGGCCATGCATGCGGGTCCCCAAGCTGCGGGGTGGACCCCACAACCATCACTGCAGGCAGAGGATGTCTGGTGATGGCTCAGGAACCCTGCAGGGGGGGGCGATCACGGTGGCCCCATTTTATGGACAAGTCACCTGAGACCTAGAGAGGGAAGGGTCTCGCCAGGGTCTCAGCGGCTTAGACGCATCTGGACTGGAGCCCTCATCCTAGCGACCAGGGCCTCGTCGGGCCTGGGACGGCCCCAAGGCGTGCAGAAGGCGTCCCCAGCCGGGCGCAGTGGCTCAGGCCTCTTACTCCAGCACTTTGGGAGGCAGGTCCCTCCCAGAGAAGAGCGTTAGCTCTGGAGAGTTCTAGACCAACCTGCCCATGGGGAGACCCCGGCCCTACAAAAAATACAACAGTTGGGCCGGTGCAATGGCTCATCCTTGTAATCCTAGCACTTTGGGAGGCCAAGGTGGGCGGATCACTTGAGGTCAGGAGTTCAAGACCAGACTGGCCAATATGGTGAGATGCCATCTCTACTAAAAATACAAAAACCCAAAATAATTAGTTGACCACGGTGGTGTGCGCCTGTAATCCCAGCTACTCAGAAAGCTGAGGCAGGAGAATCACTTGAACCCAGGAGGTGGAGGTCTAACCCTTGCACTGCAGCCTGGGTGACAGAGTGAGACTCTGTCTCAAAAAAAAAAAAAAAATAATTAGGCTGGCACGGTGGCTCAAGCCTGTAATCCCAGCACTTTGGGAGGCCGAGGCGGGTGGATCACGAGGTCAAGAGATCGAGACCATCCTGGTCAACATGGTGAAACCCCGTCTCTACTAAAAATACAAAAAATTAGCTGGGCACGGTGGCACGTGCCTGTAGTCCCAGCTACTCGGGAGGCTGAGGCAGGAGAATTGCCTGAACCCGGGAGGCGGAGGTTGCGGTGAGCCGAGATCGCGCCATTGCACTCCAGCCTGGGTGACAAGAGCGAAACTCCATCTCAAAAAAAAAAAAAAAAAATGAGCCAGGTGCAGTGGCTCACACCTGTAGTCCCGGCTACTTAGGAGGCAGAGATGGGGGGATGGCTTAAGCCCAGGAATTGGAGGCCGCAGTCAGCCTCGATCACACCACTGCACTCCAGCCTGGGCAACAGAGCAAGATCCTGTATCAAAAAAAGAGAATGTCCCGGCCTGGCTGGCCCGGCTCGGACCTCCTGCAGGAGCCTGGGAGCTGAGCCCTGCCCAAGCCAGGCCCCCAAGGAAGCGCCAGGATCGGAAAGGAACTGAGATTACAGTTTCCCCAGGAAACCAGCCTGGCCCCCGCCTCTGCGACCAGATAACCCCGGGGGCTCCCACTCCTTCCCCAAGTAACTCCCTGAAGGCACAGAGGCCACTCGGCCACCTGAGGCCCTAGCTGGGCAGAGCCAAGGGTCAGGGCCTCACGAGAGACTCAGTTTCATCATCTTTAAAATGGGCAGCTGCAGGGAGCAGATCAGAGTGCCTGGCACGATCCTGGCACTGCGGTTTCTGGGAGGAGCCGGGGCTGAAGGCAGCACATGAGGTGCCCGCTGGGCTGCCAGGGACAAACAGGAAGCAGATGAAAATAACTTGGCAGGAAGCCGGGCTGTCAGCGGCCGCGTGGAAGAGAAAACGGAACTGTCGGCCTGCAGGGCACTGAGTCCCGGCACCTCCGTTCGCCTGACGCCCCCGTCCTTCCCCTCGCTGCGGCTCCTGAAGCTCTGTCTACCCAGACCTCGGCCAACCCGCAGTTTGCTTCCTTCTAAAATGCAGACCTGCCCCCATCTGTCCTGTGCTCTGACACCTTCTATGGCTCCCCATTGCCCTTCTGCCCGGCGTTGTCATGCCTTCATCCTACACCAGCGCACCCACACCTTGGCCCCCAAACGCATTCTGCTTCCATGTTTCTGAGCCTGTGGTTGGGACATTTCCTCTGCTTTTCCCTCCTAATCGCCATCAGATCCTTAAAAAACAAAATCAACTGGGCAGCCTCCTGAGACAGAGTACACTCAGCGACACCCCCTACCAAACTCCTATGCATCCCCCAGAGCCTTAGCTATCATGGCCGCTTCCACACAGCACTCCCTGTCATTCCCTTCTGAGCCTCCCCAAGTCCCTCCCTCCATCCTCTCTTGGGTTGGAAACATCCGTGTCTGGCTCTGTCTTCCACCCAGGCCTCAGTGTCCCCGTGGCTGTCTTCCACCCAGGCCTCAGTGTCCCCGTGGCTGTCTTCCACCCAGGCCTCAGTGTCCCCGTGGCTGTCTTCCACCCAGGCCTCAGTGTCCCCGTGGCTGTCTTCCACCCAGGCCTAGCGTCCCCGTGGCTGTCTTCCACCCAGGCCTAGCGTCCCCGTGGCTGTCTTCCACCCAGGCCTAGCGTCCCCGTGGCTGTCTTCCACCCAGGCCTAGCGTCCCCGTGGCTGTCTTCCACCCAGGCCTCAGTGTCCCCGTGGCTGTCTTCCACCCAGGCCTCAGTGTCCCCGTGGCTGTCTTCCACCCAGGCCTCGGCGTCCCCGTGGCTGTCTTCCACCCAGGCCTCGGCGTCCCCGTGGCTGTCTTCCACCCAGGCCTCAGTGTCCCCGTGGCTGTCTTCCACCCAGGCCTCGGTGTCCCGGCGGCTCTCACCGTCACGCAACACACACTCCTTGAGTTTCTCAAGGCCCTCAGCGAAGCGGGCCACGTCCGCCAGCAGGTGGGAGATGTCATCGACGGCATCAGGACCGGCACCCTCAGAGGGCAGCTCGCCCGGGCTGGGAGCTGTCACTGGGCTCCGGTGGCTGCGGCCCAGTGTCCAGGAGGCGGCACCCGACAGCGGGAAGCCAGCTGCGCTGGCATGGCGGCTCAGGCTGGTGGGCCGCTTGAGGGTGCCTGTGGCCTTGACGCCAGAGGACCCGGCAGGCGGCTCCAGGCTTGGTCCGGGGATCGCTGCGTCAGCCCCATCCTTCCTGGGCAGCTCCTTGGGCAGGTCCGAGGGGAGCTCGTTAAAGGGATTTTCCAGCCCAGACACTGCCTCAGTTTCCCCAGAAATGAAGTGGGGCTGTGGAGGGCCATCATCACCCTGATCCCACAGGGCTCAAAGGCCAGAGGTCACAGGGCCGAGATTTGGTGGTGTACCCCCCCCACCTGTTACCCAACATCCTCTTCACTAGAGCTTTCACAAACAACGGTCCCTGCCCAAACCACAGCCGGGGCGGGGCCTGCGGGGAGGCGCGGGAGGGGGGTCCCCACTTCCTGGTGGGGGTGGGGATGGTCTTCAGCCCTTCTAGCTCTAGCCCCCCTCAGGCTTCCATAACGCGGCTACTTTAAGTAAAGACACCTGTGACTATGTCTGTACCCTGCGGGTCTGTAGTCCCCTGGACCCTATGGACCGGGGCCGTGTAGACACCCCCTAACCTCCGAGCTCTGTAGACACCCCAGGCCTGGAGACGCTCCCCAGTCCCGGTACCTGCTGGACCCCATGAGAGGATCTGCTGCCTGGGAAACCCTCAACCCCAATGGCCAGGCCACAGCCCTCCCACCTCCACGGCTCCCGGAGCCCCCAGGCTGCTTAAGCCCTCGACCTGCAGCGACCCAAACCCAGCACTGCCCCCCACCCTGGCCCCGTCCCTTCCCGCTCCCTGGGCCCCGCAGCCAGCCCCGGACGGAGTGGAGGGAGGCGGCCACCACTCCCAGGGTCCCTACCGTTAGCTGAACGCCAGGGTCCCGGCCTCTCCGCTGTGGCCCCCGCCGTCCGACCCGGTAGGGGCTGTAGCTGGCACGGGCCCCCAGCCGCCGCCCCAGCATGGGCCCCGAGCGCAGGGCGGGTCCCTGTCCCTGTCCCCTGTCCCTGTCCCCTGCGGGCCCGTGTCAGCCCCAGGTCTCCGCCCCGGCTCCACTCACCCCTGAGGGCTGCGGGCTGGGGCTTCCCGCGCGGTTCTTTTTGGAGATGGAAGGGGTTTTCATGAGCTCCCGTTTCTTCCTGGAGAACATGACGGGGCCCGGGCCGGGAGCGCGCGGGGCCCGGCTGGGTGGGACGGGCCGAGGGTCTCAGCGCCGCAGCCCCGGGTGCTGGCCGCCTGGGGAGCGCATTGCCACCGGCCACCCCCTCCCCAGCTGTCAGGCCCACGTGATGCGCCCTCCCCGCGGCAGGAAAAGGCCTCGGGGAGGCGGCAGCGCGACCTCGCCCCCAGCCCTCCCCGGCCTCGGCCTGCGGCTCCGCGGAGTGGGCGCGAAGAAGGTGAGGTCTCAGGCCCCGCCCCAGCCCCGGGCCGCGCCCCCCGCTTCCGCTTTCGGGAGCGCAGAGCCGTGCGGCTCACGGGGTGGGACGGGGAGCCCCTGGTTGGCGCTGGGGCTCTTGGCGGGCACCGGGTGGCCGACTGCAGGGCGCTGACCGTCACCCATGGCCGCCACTGGGCGTGCACAGACACGTGTGCGTGGTGACACGCGGAGACACGGACCTCCACGCGCGCTCAGACGCCACCAAGCTCCCGGAGCCTCAACCTCAGACCCCGGACACAGGCCGAAGCTGCGCCTCTGCAGCCCCCTTTTTCCTGAAGGCGAACCCCAGCTCCACCTCCACCAGGCCCCTTCCCTGCAGACCCTAGGGCATGGCAGGGCCCCGGCAGGGCGGGGCAGAGCAGGGTCACCCCATCCATCACCCATCCCGTGGCCCCAAAAGGTGGGCCGGGTCAGGACAGGTAGGGAAACTGAGGCCCAGAACCGAAGCCCTGTGGACAAGGAAGTCCAGGAAGAGTCAGAACGGCCCCAGTCCCCGCATCCACCCACAGCCGGGCTGCCTCCACGGGGGTCCCCAAGCTGTGGTGTGGACCCCACCATCGTCAGAATATGCTGAGGACATGTGGTTATGTCTCAGCAACCTTGTGGGCGGTATCAGGTTGCCCCAGACCTCAGCGCCGCCCTGAGCTAAGGTCCCCGCCCCTGCCTCCCATGCTGCATTCCAGGGACTCCGGACCACCGGATGTGCTGGGCAGCAGGAGGCAGGCACCCGTGGCTGATAACAGCCTGAGGCAGCATTGACCAAGAGCAGGGGCATCTGCCTGCGAACAGATCCCGGCCTCCTACCTTCCCCCACCCCCCCGCCCCCCCCCCGTGTAAACTCTCTCCCCTCCCCAGGTCTCCCTGCTGTCCCCTTCCACAACCCCACCCCAATCCCAAAACCCCAACCTCTCTCCTTCCCCAAACTCCATTCCCACCTACCTCGGGTGGGAAGAGCGGGTCTCCCAGGCACAGGACACGGAGGTCACAGCCCCCTGCTCTACGTCCCGCTCTCCAGGCCCAGGTCCAAGTGCAAACCCAGCCCAGCAGACCCTTGAGAACTCTTTGCCCCTGACTCATGGCTCTGAGGGCCAGGATCGGGGGGTGAGGGGCAGCTGGATGTCAGGTGGGCTTCTGGCCTGGCCAGGAGGCCTGTGGTCCAGGATACCAGGTGCCTCTAAGCCTCCCAGGACATTCCTGAGCCCTGACCTCATCCCCACTTCATGGCTAGGCACTTACAGGTACCGCCCTTAGGTGCCAGCCCGACGTGGCCATGCAGGGACGTGGGGAACCAGGCTTTTATGAGGCCCGAACTTGCATCCCCAACTCCTGGGCTGGCCACAGAGGCATTTACAGCTGGGGGTCCGGTCAGCTGTAGACAGGCTCACACCTGTGTCCTACGAATGGCCACTTGGGCGTGCACATGCGAGAACACTCAACATGCAGGGGACCATATCCAGATACACGTGCAGGCAGCTCTGTGTGGCCTGGGGTAAGGAGACACAGTTTCACCTTCGCGGCTTCTCTGCAGCCTTCTCTTTATTTTCTCCAGGGCACCAGCCCCTCTGGCAGCTCCAATCCAGGCTCCTGAGTACTCTACCCTGCCCTTGCTATTCCCGGGGCCTCCCGCGGCCCCAAAGGGGAAGGAGGCTCAGAGCGCAGTCTCCAGGGTGCTGGGGTCATGGAGGAACTGGCTGACGCATTTGGGGCGAGGCAGGCCTGGCCCAGGGTCCACTCCCACTCGTGTCTCCTTCTGCTCCTCCGCATCCTCTTCCTCATCCTTCCCTTGGTCCTTGGAGAAGTACAAGAATACCTGGCAGTGGGCGGCCCAGAAGGGACACAAGGGGCGGTCAGCCCACAGGCCGCCTGGCTCCCAGCCTGCCTCCCCCAGCCCCACCCCGGCGCCGTGATCACCTCCTCCAGCATGGTCTGGCTCACGGAAAAGTCCTCCACGCTGTGCTCTGCACCGTGCGCCGCCAGCTCTCCAAAGACACGCGCCAGGGCGCAGCGCCCTCCCGGCGGCAGCTGGAAGCGCAGGCGGCCTCCGTGTACCTCGCGCAGCTCCGCTCCCGGGAACTCCGCCGCCACGAAGGCCGCTGCCGACCGGGACTTCTCGGCGGGCACCCGCAGGGTCAGCGTGTGACCAGCCGCGAATCTGCAGTGAGTGGGACCAGGGCTACCGGATGGGGCCTTTCCCAGGTCCTACCTCAGCTCACACTCCAGCCCCTACTACTTTCTGGCCCCGCCCCATACTAGTACCAGCGCTGGCCACCAAGTGATCCTCTCACCTCAGTGCCCCCGCGTAGCTGAGACCACAGGCAAACACCACCACGTCCAGCTAATTTTTCATCTTTTTAAATAGAAAATGGGGGTCTCCCTAGGTTGCCTGGGCTGGTCTTGAAACTGTCACCCCACTTGATTCCTCTTTCGGCACAAGTGGCCCCGCCTTTGCACCCTAGCCCCGCCCACACAATAACAAACCCACCCACTTTCCCAAGGCCCCACCCACTCACCAGGCCCTCCACTAACTCCACCCACCAACCCACTCTCACCCCTCCTGGCTGCACCTTCTCCAACGCACACCTGATTATGTCTTCTAAATCCACGCAGAGCCTCTGGCTCAGGCCTCCTGGTCCTGCACCCCCAGCACACCCCAGCCTGTCTGGCCCTCTCAGTCACCCCTGAAGGATAATCTACAACCTACGCAAACTTTCCTCACCTCTGTCCCCACGTCTGGCCTCTTTACTGAGCCTACCTCGTGCCCACCTTCATCCCGCACCTGCCTGGAGGCCCGGCACGCTCACCTGCCCTTGAGATGTTGCGCACTGCCCAGGCAGCGGAACCGCCCATTCACCATGATGGCCAGGCGCGAACAGAGCGCTTCACACTCCTCCATGCTGTTGGGACCAGCCCACGAGCTCAGTGAGGCCTGGGCTACCCGTGCCTAGCACCACATCACCTGCTTCCCCAGGCTCAGGCCACGTTCTGGTCTGGACATCTCCCTACCCAGCCCAGACCACTCTGATCCGGGGCTGCGTCCCACCGCTGCGTGTCCTCATGCCCCAGGGCCTGGCACTC